ATCGATTCATTGAATCGATATCATCTAGAATTTTCCAGCATTCTATGACAATAGCACTATTTGTTGATGGTTTTTATTGTGCTGTTAACGCACCTTGGCTGCCTGATATGGTCGTGGGTTGTTGTATTCTTGAAAAAAAAAATCAGTATTTAAAGATTGCGGTTAGTTCAATTTGACGCAGATTGATCCAATTATCCACTATCAGATTCTTATAGAGAAACATCGGTGTAACATACGCAATTTGATTGTGATGTCACTCTGTTGAAGCTTCATTGCCAATCTGTTCAGTTTCTTGCGATTACCAGGGAGTTTATATTGAAGTTTTAAAAAACTTTTGTATATTCAGTCACAATGTTCGTGTTCTCATAATATTATAGAGATTAAAAGAATAAGATAAACGCGTTTTACAAGCCAATAACGCTTGTGGAAACACGAAAAATTAAGAATAGCTCAAACTAAGCAGAAATCAACATTGTCCATTCATATATCTTTTATTCTCACACAACAGCAAAAAGAAAACACCCATATATATTCAGATACATAGAAACATTCGAAATATTGGCCATAAAATTATTTTAATAGCGATCAAATCGAAAAACAATAATTCTTTGGAATATACAAATAGATTCTTTATATTCAAAACGATAATAAATTGCAAGAAAAGATTTTCATCGATCAATACATTACCTTACAATCGTTAAAATACATTGAACACACTAGAATAAGCTCGTAGAATGAACAACGAGTCAAACCTGAAAAATGCTTTTTTTAGGCTTTTTCAAGCCGGTATTCTCAAAATCGACTAAATTTTCTCACAAACCAATTCAATTTTTGTTGATGATCCTATATTTTTTTATTATGATAAACCAATTATGACCCAATGAAATCGAATTTGCCATAGTCGAAATGTTCAGTAATCCTGTTTATCTGTCAAAGAAATTTTCCTCAGGAATGGGATTATTTAATTCAATGAAAATTTTGCAAAATGTCATGTAAGACACATGCAGATAAAATCCAATAAAATCCAGTTGTATTTCACACATAGCGACAACTGTTTATACGTTTCAAATGATTTTAAAATGAATTTTGGATACTGTGACATCATCATTGTTGAAAGTTATGTCTGGCTGCTAATCTGTTTTTTTTATTGTTTTCGTGTTTTTTTATTCACGTCATACGAATTGCAGATTTAAAGCAAACGCTAGGGTATCTGATTTATAAGGTGCATTTCGATGTTAACGTTTTTCCATCTTCTGTTAATCATTTTGTGTGTCATTTAGTCTATTTATCAATTTGACGACGGTATTTTAGTCGTTGGCTAGCTGAAAATAGGACTTACTTCGCCGAGGTGAAAACCTGCATTTTTTCGATTTCGGCGTGTTTGTTTGGATTTATTTTCGATGTTTTTGCGAAAAATGTGCCTTTAATATTGGTTCTTGAGTTTAACCGAATATATGTCAACGCACCTCTTTAGAACTTCACAATTTGGTGTGGATATCGGTAGAAAGAATCAGCAAAACCACAAACACAAATCTTTAAAAATAACCTGACTTCATTTTTGGTTGAGACAATTTGGCAATTGAATTGATTTATATAGAAAAGTCCTGTCCGCACCATTCATTATAACGAATATATTTCCAACTCTAGTGACTCCCATCGAAGAAAATCTACCAGTAGATTTTTGAAATGTTTTTTTATATATTGGAAACGCTTGTTTACGCACACACACACACACACTATAAACAACTCCATAAATGGGTCGAGTGTATTATGATTTCGAGTGATTTATAAAATCGTTTCGATACGGTACCAAAATTAAAGACCCGTCCTCTCTCCCTTTGAGATCATCCAAAGCCAATCCGACTAGATCGTTCCTCAATTTCACTGCAGTAAAAGTGAACGTTGTATTTTTTTTGTTCAAGTCAATCAATACGGTTTTTAAATGAACGATTGAAGTATGAACAGTGAGCAGGTTGAGCAATATATGAATGTGGTTATTGCAATCGATTTATTTGTTTTCAACGCCACCAAGGATTTTGATGAGAGAGAAGCGACAAGAAAAAAAATTGTGAATAAATCATTCGTTTCACATAGATTGTGTTGTTATTTTTTCTCGTTTTCTTTGGAATTTTCAAAGAACTCGAAATAATATCGCTAATTCTGTTGGCATGTGAACACCTTTAATCTAACGTAGCCATCTATAAATAGACAACACAATCAACAAATTCAACTATATGCCGCTTCTAATGGCTGCCTTTATATACGTTCTATTTTTCATATCAATTAGAAGCCCCAACATTCTTTATAAAAATATATATTTTTTTTTTCTCATCAAAATAAAACGAAACATACAGACGGGCCTCGAACCGAACCATGGGGTGGTCTACACTGTTGAAAGTATACACGATTATTCAACCAAATATGTAACGTCACTTTTGAGCTTAGATTATTATTTTGATGGTAAAATGTGCACATGTGCACAACCATGGTTTACACCGTAGTCTTACCTATCTGTTAAAGTTCTCATGCTTTTTGTAGGAAAATAGAAAAGTTTTTTGTTTTCTGACAAACCATCCGAACGAAGAGCCAAAGCTAAGTGTAGTTATTTGAAATCAAAATTATCTCATTATAGTTTATTATTTTTGCATTGGAAAGCATATAGCATATACATATGCTCTATTGCGTATGTTCTATTAAATACTTTATTTCATATTCAATAAAAATCGATTTTTTCCATCATTTTGTCTGAATTTCCCCTTTTATTTAATCCAATTGGAAAGTTATGAAGTTTTGATCGAAGTAAACTGCAACCTTCTCCACTTTTGAAGCTTTTCCGTCCTATTATCGGTTTCACATAAAATGGTTACAAAATCGGCAAGAATGTATGCATATTGAACATTCTTGTTCATATTGAACTGTAAATTTAATTATTTTGAATGACTTAAAATCCAGGTAAATTTATTTTGAGAAATAAATAAACGATTTTGTCCAATTTTTTTAATCGTTTAATGAAGAAATTGAAATAAAAAAAAATTGTCTCCGTAAAATCGGTAACAAAAATGTTTCGTCAATGAAAAGCGTTTGTAAAATAAAGCGCCATCTACCAATGACTACCTCGCTCCACTGGAATGTGCAGAACTTTCATTGCAACCGTTTTTATGTAGTAAATAACCATACCTGACCCGCAATTTTGTTGGGTTTTTCCATTTTCATTTTTAAACTTCATTTTTTCTATGAAGTAATAAAGTATTATGATTTGATCAAAACTCGCGTCTCACATTTTTTCCAAATATTTCATGAATTTATTTGCTTCCTATGTTGCTTCCAAGAAAGTTTTACGCGTAGAGTCTTTTAGAACCTACGAAAGGACTCATTTAGGGTCTAGTTTGTTATTGCATAACAAACTATAATTGAGCCGTTACATGGAATGTACTACATCACAATGTATGGATGGATTAGATAGATAGCATACACAGTACAATAAATTTCAGGTCACCAAAAATTTTAATCACAATTTCTAGTTAGTCCCAGATAATAATTAAACATAAGAACAGAATCTGTTTTGGAATGAAAAAAAAAACCAAAGTTTTGGACCCCGATGGAGAAACAAAAAATAAACGAAGTTTTAATGTACATTGCACAATGTACGTTTCATGTGACGGTAATAAATAAACTCAAACTCGCAATGCTAACAAGTTGAATGCAGCGTTCTCCTTTTTTCCTAAAGCAACTATATTCTCGGCCTAAGGCTCGACCTGAGTGAGAGGTCGAGAAACGATCCTGTCAGTAATATTTATAGTTGTAATTTATTAGATCAAACTCCCATCACTGTCATGTACAATACAAATCAAAATTGCTTTCGCGTAGTTTATTTTAGGCTCAATCTTCGGCATATCACTGTTGTGTCTTCAACCAAATTTTAGCACTATCAAGGTTATTCCAAATAGATAGCAGTATAATTTTGTTTGAAACACGAAATTGATACTTCCCATTCAGAATATTCGCCGAATATTGATAGAAGAATTTGTTTGAATATTCGCATTTGAATGATTCCATTATGTCACTATTTGAGTATTACTTTTCTTATTGCATGATGGTTGATAACCGAATAAATATATTTCAGTGATCATTTTCAACATTAGTTGAAGCATTAGAATCGAAATTTTAAGTTTATTTAGAACGATATTTTCATTTCGTTCAATTTTCAAAATACCAATGAATGAACGAATCGAAATGATTTTCAACCGAAATTCATATCATATCCCTTTTCAATAGTGTCGCGGATAGAAATATCATCATGATAAAACCTATTTTTAGCTTCAGAGAGAGGCTGCGTGGAGTGCAAAGTGTGAGAGCGTGCACATACAAAATCTGTTCACATTTATATGAAATATGCAAAAACCATGGTAATAAGTCGCAAATACTAACACAAGCGTTTTGAAATTTAGAGAAAAATAGAAATATCGTCGTTTCATTTTTTTTCGCAATTCATAGATGAGTTAGTTCATCAGTTGCAATCTAAAACAAAAACGGAGTAATAAAATTTGTTTAAACGTATCAAAAGCAAACAAATCAATTTTGTAAATTTCATTATAAGAAAATGGCGGAACACGCGCATCAAACTCCACTAAATATAACATCCAATCTACGTCCGGTGCAAATATGGGTTTTTCAATGTCTTTTCGCACGAGAAAAGCTAATTTTAAGTTTGAATTTGTTTTTGCGCTCTTCGCTCACATTCCAGAATGTTATTTTGACGGTATGTTTGTAGTTAGCGTTAGTCAAGTTTGTTTGCCGTTGTGGCGGAATTTGAAATGAAAACACAATTCAAATGTGATGACGTCCAATTTGCTTGGATTTGTCAAGGTCAAAAACAGCAAATCAAAGCTAGACGATTATAATTTGCTAATTGGAAAGTCGAATAGGTTCTTTGAGCTGAGATCATTTCCTAAATATGTGATCATGGATTTTCTGTAGTGGAATGGAATCAAAAGAGGTGATTTACTTGACCAGTGTGATTGATACTTTATTACAAAAGTCATATGATTAAATATAAATATATATACGAATACATAGTAATAAAAAAACAACAATCGCTTTGAATTTTTTTTGAAAATGCTGGGACTGTTCAGCTTTGTTGTGATATAGTTGTCGCTTCTTTCATTGTTGAGTATATGTGATGGATATAGCTTATTTGCTGTAGAAAAAAAAATAGAATATGTGTTAAAAAAAATTGTGTGGATTTATTGACTATTGAATGTTCCGTACTAACCCGAGCAAGATTTTACGTCCAGCGCCAATATTTTGTCCAGCTTGAGTGGCACCTGGAAAAATAGAAAAAAAGAACAGATAATCAGTGATTCGTATTGCATGTGGGGCAAATTGATCACAACATCACTTCCATAAGCTCGCAATTTGTGACATTACAATAATATTTTTAAAAAAATTCTTATATTTTCACAAAAACCAAGAGCTACTACGCAAAAGAATAAAAGAAATATTTATAACATTGTCTTTAAGTGAAATGTTACCTTTGTTTTGACCGGCTTGGAGACCGACGATGGTTTCTCCAGCTTTCAATTGTTCTTCGGTGAATTCACGTTCGTTGGCATCGGCTGGTTTTGGTCCCAATTTCGGTCCATTCCATTTAGGATCTTTCCATACAGCACGGCCAAGGGCGAAGAATGTGTTTGTAACTCCTGCAATGTCTTTCTTTTCGAAGAGGTCGACTGTTTGGAAGACATCAATGTCTGGGACACCGTAGGCTTTCAATGCTTTTTGGAAGTTTTGGACGTTTTCCATCAATTTGAATGTGGCACCGCCTTCATTGATTTTAGCTACTGATCCTGGCTTAATTTTGTTGATCAATTTGCAGCAGACAACACCGTCCTTGAGGGTATCTTCGTAGGATTGACCTGCCGGGAATTTCCATCCAAGGATGGCTTCAATCCATTCTTGAGCTTCTTTGTCTTGAACTGGATCACGTTTGCTAGCCATCTGGAAATATGGACGAGAATTCATTTCGAATTAGTTAAACTATTTTCATACATCACTTTCTCATCATTTTTTTTTTTTCACTTTGAACAAATATTTCGTTTGGTTTTTGTGTCCATTTCTTATCGGTTCTCACAAATCACTTTTGAAAATGCACATTGAAATTTTGGTGTGCACTATGTTTTAATTCTGTTTGTCTGCACTGTTTCACTATCGTAAAATCTTATTACCTTAGCTGCTACTTGACGTTGCAAAGACATGTTGATTGGTTTGTTTTTCTGTATCAAATTTCAGAGATAGAAAGGATAAGTTGTTACTCGATTGGAGTCACTTTTCAAACTGATATCCATCCTAGATGATCCAGTCGCTTATAAAGGTTTTTTTCTGTCAATGTGTATATCGAACACGTTTGGATTGGTCGGTCGACTTTGGCTCAGCGCAATATATTTTAAACGAGCCAAAATCTTACACCGAATTTTCGCGAATCACCAATCTACCCACGGTCCACAATATGTCATGAGTGAAAATTCATAGCCACCGTACGGTAAATGAGTAATACTCTTAAAATGAGTAACATACTATAACAGACGGCCAAAATACGTATACATCGCCGAGCCATATAACAACAACAACAACCAAAATTACACCTTACGATATCCAAAGAGCATCCCCTGTGCAAATTTTTTGATTGTGGCTTATCAGTTTTCTCCATACAATTTATGCGTGACTAGTGAGTGCAATAAGTACCTAGGTCTATAGCCATAGCCATCTATTGCGTCCGTATGCGAACGGTGCAGTGCGACTGCTTCTTCTTCTTAACTAACACATCTATACATATAAGTCGCCATATTGGTTATAATGTTCACAAATGGCACGCAATACACTGTATACATTTTCAATATGGTCGCGCCCATTGTGTACGACAGTGTGAAGAAGAAGAAGCAGTATTATAAGAAACTGTGTATGGGTTTACATAGGGATGATCTATTGTGAGACATTTTCATTGGAGTTTTGTACGTACAATGATTGGGATTCAATCACTAGTAGGTTATACATTTGACTGACTAAACCGGCCAATTTGATTGAACTGGTTCAATATTGATTGAAATTGACTCAAATTCCGAACACAGTACGACCAAAAATCCAGTGAAAATGTCTCAAAATAGACAGCTAAACTATATCAATATTTTTTTCACAAGGGATACTTAACGAAATTCGCATGACATCGAAGAAGAAATAGAACGAAATAGAAGGTAAACATACGTATGATACGATGTGTAGAAAAAATTTCTATTTACATGTTCCTGTGCTATTTCAAATAATATTTCAGAATTTTGAACAGACGCTGTTCCTATACGCATTCATGTATATAAAGAGTTCGATTCATTGTATACAATTTATTTGTTTGTTTCTATGAAAATAGATTTCATAACATATTCTCCGTTGGTATTTTCCTCTCGATTTGATCATTCGAACATTTTTACGCGTCCAAAAACGAAACGCTTTTGTGCGGTCAATAATATTTCTCATTTAAATTGTCATACCGTGAAAAATCTGTCGTTTGTGCGCGGTTTTCCCACTTACACGGTGCATTTTCAAAATAATTGCATGTGAAATAGTTGAAAATGATGAAGAGAGAAAATTTGGGCATAAATATAATTACACGTTGTGACAAAAGACAAACAGATACACACACGTAATTATTTCGCGTTCCTTCGTCATTAAAACTGAAATTAAAATTGCATTAAACGCGCATTTTTTTCTTTTTGATTGCGAGTAAAGTATAGCATAGAAAGAATATCGAATGTGAAAGCAAGGGATTTTAACATTCAGTTTACCTTAATTTAATATGACCCACCGCCGACAACTTAGGAACTGAACATCTGTTATCTATCTTTTTGAAAAATAACATCGATCGGATTTAATTACAAAATCAAAGCATTCACAACATTTTTTTCAGTTATAATTATTTATATTTCTTCTTGAAAATGTGACCATTTATTCTTACCATTATCAAGTTTTACATTTAGCTGGTTAAACATTTTGGTTGTTTTCATTTAATTTTAACTTAAATATATATATTTTTGGGATCAAACTTTAGATTTCGTTTGCTTAATTTGTTTGGCTTTTGTGGCTTACAATAAAATATCTTGAAAATCAATCTATGCATAGGTATTAAGTATATACGTTGAATCATTGTGTGTGTTTTTTTGTTTTTGGTTTGTTTTGAATTGAGTGATATTGTGCAGTCAATGACAGATAGCTGAGGATATATGCTGAGCATAGAAACTCAGTAAGCTGAGATTGGGACATTTTGACTTTATGACGTGTAGTCCATATAAATGCATGATGAAATGCACGAAATTGTATGCGTGCCATCATAAATTTGTATGGACTACACGTCATAAAGTCAAAATGTCCCAATGTCAGCTTACTGAGTATCTATGCTCAGCATATATCCTCAGCTATCTGTCATTGACTGATCTTGTTTTTAAGTGTTTTTTTTTCTTTCTCCCTTGCTCGTTTGCTTGTGATTTTACCGTAAATGACAAACAATAGTTCCGATTTGATTATTTGTCTTTTTTATTTACAAAATCACTTTTGTGACCAACAAAATACGTATATTCTATCCAATCAACGAATCAATTGATCAAGTGCATGTGTGTGTGTGTTTGTGTGTATTCAGAAATTCTTATTTTCCCAATGAAAAAATTCTATAACGATTCTGGCGCCTCTTATGCAAATCTTAGCTGTCGTATACAATTTTAGGTAGATTGTGAAATGTTCGAAATCCCATTTGCTACAAAAGTACTGGGCTCTTGTTGTTGCTATTCATCGATACAGTCGGACATCATGTGATGGATGGGACGTATACTCTAGTTTTTTTTCCTTTGTTCTAATTTATGTTTATATGTTTCCGTGTGTCAAACTTTTCAAGCGTTTGCTAAAGATGAATGCTCAAAATTGACGTGTTATCATCGACCAAAGGACCTATTTGAACTCATATTTCGTGCTGAGAATGTGTTCCTCTCAGTCTCAGTGTATTTCTCTCATCATGTTTGCAAATGACCCAATTCACGGAACGCAACCGCGAACAGTCACACTTTTACGCTCTTGCATTATTTTGAAGTCGATAGATTGACGAACCATTCGCAGTGAAGCGCGGCTATTCATTTGATTTTCTGTTTTTCTTCTGTTCCAAGGACAACCAATTCTATCCAATTCTATCGCTGCTTAAGCTTACGATATTGCTATATAATATACTTCCATTTTGTTTTAGACAAGCATTTTCTTTTATTTACAACTTATAACCAAAATCACCGTAATGATTGATAGCCCTAGAAAAAAAAGGTTTAATCGTCACAAAATATCGCAAGGGTTTTATGAGAGATCACGGAATTTTTTTCTTTGACAAAAAACTTTTTTCAAACCAAAATTTTCCTAACATTCCTGAAATTCCTATATTTAATGAATGAGTTTTCTTTAAAAAAATTCCTTCACTTTGAAACTAAAACCTCAATTTTCGTTTGTCATTGTGTTTGCTTTTGCGTTTGCTTTTGCTTTTGATTCGCCAAACTCTACAACAAAAGAAAGTCAATTCGACATTATGAACTCAAATAAAATCAAGTCTATAAATAAATCACAAGGTTCTTCATTTTGTAAACTGTTCGATTGGTACTGTGATGGGAAAATGTTTGTTCGATAATTAGTTGTCCAGTGTTTTTTTTTTTTTTTTTTTGAATGACTGAATGCTACTGAATGAATCAACTAAAAACGAATTCCTGCAAACACAGGACGAATAGAAGAAAATCAATCAATCGAACAGTCGAACGAAGACATGAATGACCTCCAAGATTTCAACATTAGTGTGGTTTTTGGACAGAAAGTCTTCATTTTCTAATGTTGCATACAATTATTTACAAAATACGAAATGACATTCAAGGAATAATGTTAATGTTTGGATATAATATTTGCGATTGCATGACTAGAATTACGTGCTAAAGAGTGTGTCGCATGGAGCTCGCCCTGCAAAATTTGGATTCCTATGACATTTATTTGTTACTTATCGATCGAAATGAAATTAACTTTATAGACACATTTTATTTCATGTTTCTTTCTTCATTTTGTTTTCTGTTTCATTTTCAATGGAGATTCTAATGGTGGAACGTTTTGCTGACAGTAGTAATTTAAATAGAAAATGCGTGTGTGTGTATGTTTCTTTTCTCTTTGAATTATTTTCACTAAGTTGAAAGACGTTTACAATTGGTTTGGTTTGTTTGCTACTTTAAAATAAGTGATTCGCTGTAGTTGGTTTGCTGAATCCTCCTAGCGGGTCAAGTAGATAGCCAGCTGAGCTGCCGGCGCTCAGTAACGATGAGAACGGTGATGATAGTGCGGCCGCCGATAGTGCATGATGATGGTGCTGATGATTCGATAGGCCGGAACCCAAGTTCGTCTGTTTGTTATTATTGTTGTTGAGCAATTGATGATGGCTATTGTTACTGTTATTCTGCAATAGTGTGTTCGATCCACCGATCCATTTATTGTTATTCACGTTCAAATCGTCGGTTAATTTTCCTTTATACAAAAAACAAAGATAGAAAAAAACGTGGAGAAAAAGAACAAATCGATTAAAAAACAAGTTCGACAAGTGATTTTTTTTTTGCATTGCAAAAACAACAGAAATGAACGGAAACATGATTTATTTCAGTTTCAATATGTCAAAAAGTGGAAAAGTACAACTTTTTTGTCTGGGTATTGGGCAAAAACTAAGTCGAAAAAAAAACAACAACCAACAGTCGGAACATTGGAATAAAAAAGAGTGAGCACAACCGGAAAGAGAAAGAGAACGAGTAGAATCATAAAATCAAGTGGAGATGAATTGCTTTCTCTCGCTCTCTCCCTCTCGTTTGGACAAGAGCAAAGAATAGTGACAAATCGTTTTCGTAAATTGTTTTAGCATCTCGAATATGGAGTTTATGAGTGGTGTGATTTATGAAAGAAAAAAATCTAATTTTGGTTGTGCGCACTGGAAATGTGTCTGTTTGCCGATTGGTTTGCTGCTCGTGTCCATCCTTCAAGTCATTCGGAGGCGAATGTAATGAACTAGACAAATTTGAACGATTGCATCCGTAGATGTCTATTGATTTCCCTCTCATATTTTGTTCGGTGGTCACACGCGAACCGTAAAAGGGACTGGAAAAGAGATGGAGGAGTGAAAAAATTTTTTTGGCCAAGATGTATGTGGCAACAATGGATTTATATCGCAATATAATACTAACAACAACAACAACAAAAGCAGCAGCAAAAAAAACCAAAAGATAGAAAATGCTTTTGTCGAATCATAGAATAATATATAATCATATCCACTTATCGTTAAAATAAATATCGATGAACAGCAACACACGAGAATGTAAAATCGTCTTCGGGGCCAAATAAATGTACGATACTTGGCAGACTATTGCCAAAGACGCAAAATTTGCCTTCGCAACAAGCGAAAATTCTCCCCATTTCGTTCGATCTGTGCACTCATGACAGATCCTCTTTATCATTTTTATATGTTCGTTTCGACTGTTTTGTGTGTCGCATGGTTATATTTACCAACATCTTAATATGATTTTATAGTGCAGCACTGAATGACCGTCCGCATATGCAATAAAATCGTCGAAACCAAATCTTATAAAAACATAACGGTCACATTATTTCTGATTTTTTGTTTGAATACTTTTGATTTTTCTTTTTATTGCATAATCATGATTATGATGCGTTCAAATGTTTATCGACAATCGGTTATATTGGGTGATTTAGATTCGATTTTCAAAATACCTATCACAAAGCAATGTATTCTAGGCTTTGTCTCTCTTTCTCTTCCTCTCTCTCTCTTTTGCTTTCTCTACTTAACCATTGCCTTTTAATAATTTGCGTATTTCTAAACTATTGAAGAAGAAGAAACAAATCGGTGGGGCTATATAACTCAATAAAAAACAACGCTACAAATATACCGCGTGTATTCCCTGCGCACACTACGTTTATACCATTTTCACGCTTACGCTTATTTTATACATAGTTTGATACAAAGTCGATGGTATATTTGAGGCATATTTTTAGCGTGAACCGCATGCAAAGCATACGGATAGAATACTTTGACTTAGCGTATGATTCTAGCGTATGATCTAATGAATCCAATCAATTAAATGTATTTCTCCATTGGCTTCTCTAGTCGTTTAGTTGAGACTTAACTGGCTTGGATAGCGTCTAAAACCATTAAATGGCAACGTGAAAAGTAGCGACAAGAAGTTCAAAACTACCGTCATTCAACTATACGATGATTTGCAACAAATACATACACACACAAACCGTACCTTCGAGCGAGTGAAATTGGCGGCGCCCAAAAAGATTTTCAATACTTCTCTCGCACAAAACACTTTTTATTGCATTTAATTTGGAAAATTGGCTTTTTGCTATTCATTTATTTGAATTAATGTCAAAATTAGTGTGGCGCACATTGTCACCATTCTACGCTGTAATATCAATTTAAATTGAAGACGATTTTCTCTTCCGCGCGTTCTCATTCTCACATGTTGCCAATGGGAGAGAGAGAGAGAGAGAGAGAGAGAGAGAGAGAGAGAGAGAGAGAGACATTGTAACTTCCATTGCGTGATGGAAAAAGTGGCTGTAACAACCAGACACTCCAACATCAAGATCCGATCCCAAAATGAAAATGGTTTCTATACTCAACGAAGATACCATTTGTCGTATGGTTTTCTTTCTTCATTTTTGTCAGCTAATATTTTCGAGAGAGACTTTTTTCTGACACTACTTTGCGAATCGAAAGTGATTGTGTCTGCGAGTGCAGTAGCGTCGTACAATGCATTTAAAAGTGTGAGCTCTTCATTTTTTTTTCATGCTCTTCTCGGTCTTGCATATTTTTTAATCCGTTTGTGGCTTCGGCTCCACGCCAACTATGAATAAAACGAAATAAGCTACACAAATTTTTCTAATGGAAACACATTCTTTTTTATTCTTTCTGACATTCGGAGAAAATAAAAAAAATGGAATGAACGAAATTCCGTTATGAAAAAACGAAAAGTCATTTTCATGAAAAACCAACACAGAACAAAAACACCATGGAAATGGAGCGAGAATGAAATTTGGACCGAAAACTTGCTTATCAATTCAGTGTTTGTTTTGCAAACATATGCAAAAGATTGACCTTATGAACATAACACCAAAGTTCTTGCTATTGAAATCTTGCTCTTTGCAATCAAATGCAGTGTTCGGTTGTTATTTATTTTCGGTTATCCGTTCAATTCACACTCTCCGGTGTTTTGTGCAATTTACTTTCATCTAAAAACCGACGAAGTGGAGCAAAAAATATTTTTTTTCTTCCTTTTCTCGGTTGTTGAATGAAATTCAATGAACAACAAAACATTTTTTGTTCAAATAAAACAGTCGAATGTGTGAAAGAGAACGAAAGATAGAGAGAGGGCAACACACTCAATCATATTACGGATCGTACGAGTGTCCATAAATTCATATGCTTCCATGTGTGTAGATTGCATATGTTTAACGGAAAATTGCTATACGAAATATCTTGAATTGAAAAATATAAATTCAAATTAAGGAAAATTATTCGACACAAACAATCTCTCCTTCCCTCTCGCTCTCTCTCTCTCTCTCTCTCTCTCTCTCTCTCTCTCTCTCTTTCGTGAGCATGCTGAAATGCTGTCTATTGTGTGTTGCCACGACGATATTTTTGTATGTTACGTTTTATGTGTCTGCATTCTTTTTCGACAATATCGTTTGGTCCAGCCCCGAATGCCAGAATTAAACGCGATAAAGGCAGCTAGTGTTATGTGAGCGTATCAAGTTATTTGTAGCTTAAACAGATCGAATAATGAAAATCACGGACAAAGATTTATGTAAACGTGAAAAAATGGCGAACAGACGAGAAAAAATTCAAGTCATTGGTTGTGCCGTTGACCACCTAACAAAGACTCTTTGCACAGAGCAAGAGACACTTCACAAAAAAAAATTCAAATTTCCATTTGGGTAATTTATAGCTTGCATTGCACCTTGCAAGAAACTAACCATTTAAGGGTTTGATGTCACCGTTCGAATGATGGGACGAAGCACTTGAATTGGGCGTTGTGGAAATGGTGGAATTCGGTGAACCTGGTTTGATATCCTTTGGTGTTGTATTCCCAATGGATTTTCCTTCTGATTTGATCGGTGAATCGGATGACGTATTCGTAACCTTTTGCTGTGCCAAACGCTCTTGCTTACGGAATTTCGCGCGTCTATTCTGGAACCAGACCTTTGAATAGAACAAGAAAATTAATCAGATTAGAAAATGACGATTTTAAAACTAAGGCTATAAAATGAAATAATTAAAAGAGATTTTTCAGCACAAATTCAAAGAAGTTGAAACAAAAACGATGGAAAGAATTATAACGATATTAAAAATGACGTGATTCATTGATATTATTTTTGTCGCAATTAAAAAAACTCAAACACGAATTGAAAATTCCATTTTGTTTTTTTTTCTCTTTTTCAATGAAAACGCTACAGGCACATTCATAACGTTCAGTTTATTGGCATTGCTATGTTGCTTGTTTTGTATACGTATTTACGCGTGATCATTGTGAAGAAACATTAACATGTTTCGGCCGGTTTCTGTTTACTCGGTCTCTCTAGCTAAAATCATTTCACTTGCGATATTTGGATACGCTGACAAAGAGGAATTCGACTCGGACACCGAATCGCTCAAACAATCCAAAAATAAAACTTTTCGTAATAATGCGGGGGAGAGGCTCTTTGCATATACTTGCTTACGATGGTTGTTTTTCTATTTTAAACACACGTTGTAAAGCGATACGGATTTTTCACCGATTACTCATTTATCCAAAGTCGCACAAAAATATTATGGTACGTAACATTAGCTCATACGCAACGCGTTTTTTCTTCTTTTTTTTTCACAACGACATTGGATGCTATTTTTAAGTAAATTTTCAGTCAGTAAAATCGTTTCGTTTCGAAATATGGCACATTGCAATTCCAAATCGCGAATGGCCACTAAAGAAGTAACTGATCTAAATTTAAACGCTTTTCTGATTCAATCGAATGAAATACAGAACCAACAACGAGTGACGATTTACAGTAAAGCTGCCCAAAAATGGGCGCCCTCGCGATTAAAATCAAACGAAATATTTGTTATTTATAAATATCTACTTTCCACTGGTGTTATTTTTAAATTGCTCACATTTGTAAGGTCTTACTGTATTTGTTCGTTTGAAAAAATGTACAACAGCTGGCCCCAAATTTTTCACACTGTTTTCACTTGATTGCTGAATCATCTCCAGATAATTGTTTTCATTGGTCATGTTTGGGATCACCCGACATCATTTTATTGCTGTGTGAATGTTTGCCCACTTACGAGAACGATCAACGTTCACCAAATGAACATGCGCATATTCACATCACTCATGTTAACGAAAGATAAATGGGAAATTCGACTAAATCGTAAACATTTTCAAACGAGAGAAAATTGAAATTCAATGTGAATAAAAAAGAAGAATTATTTCAAACTCGGCAAAATTTTATTAGCAACTTGGTGCGCAAAGGTTTTGCAGGTTTTAAGATTGATTTGTTTTGATTCGTAAATTAACATTTACATTAAGATGAAAGGATTGCATTCATTTCACAGAGAATTCAACGTTTGAGCGTGGTGAATATTTGGTTGGTTATTTATGGTGTCGACCAAAAACTGATTTTCTACTTTCGAAACTGAAATCAAAATGGTGTAAGAGAATTCCAGAGCAAGAATTGAAGTGTAGTTGCATTGCTGAAAATTGTACAAATTGCGTAGTAGTATACCAATACAACTGTGCCATCGGTCTCCGTTCTCTGGAACGCAGTGGCATTGATCATGGGCAAACAAGCGGAAAGAATGCACAAACGAGACACGACCCCAACCAGCCGATAAAACAATACGGGAAAATTAAGCAAACCTGTGCAAGGAATCAAAAAAGGGATTTCGTTCATTTACAAGATAAATACACGGAGAGATCTCCCTGCGGAGATGTTTATTTATTTATTTTTCATCTCCTTTTCCTCCTGGTACTTCGCCACTTTTCTCTTTATTGTGTGATTTTCTTAATGTGGCCCGTTTTCTCCCTCTCTCTCTCTCTCTCTCTCTCGCTTTCTGGCATTTGCCCTGGCTTCACTTGGCTTGGCTTGGCTTTACTCTATTTTGTTTGCTTTTTGAATTACTTCAAGCATTGTGTTTTTTATTTGCATTCTCTTTGCTCTTCTGCTCTGACAATCCATGTACAATTTTCTCGGTGCCGATGTGAAACCAGGCGCGCAAGTGCTTTAATTTTTCCAAATACGCTATACCTAATCCCCAATAACATTTAAATTGACAAACCATTGTCAACCGCAGCACTCTTTCTATGCGCGCATCGACAAATTCGGAATTAAAATGCCGCTTCTCGTGCTCCGCACAGTTCACATTCTCGTTATGACATCATGGAGTCTGATTGCCGTTCGGTGTGTTCTATTCCCACCAATCATTCAGATCAGCGTTCAAATGCTTCAAATGAAAATCATTCAATTCAGTCGTGATTGACCTCAAAATAGCATGCGTTTCATCGTGTGCGTACGCCGTCAACACGAACTTTGAGTTGCAATTTCAAATCCGTTCAGTTTTGTTCACATGACAAATGGCACATTCATGGTGTCCTCTCTTTGCCCACGAGCTCACCGTTCGACGGAAAATGGCTGGTGAGGCAAAGTTGAAGTAATTATAATATACAAAATGAGATGTTAAGCAATATCATGAATTTTAGCAAGCAACCCGTGTGAAAAATTTGTGACTGACTAGCCAGCCGTCTAATTTCGGACTTTTTGGCTGACTATCAGTAATTAAAAGTGATGAACAAAATATTCGACTGTAGTCAACTTCAGTTTAGTCATCTAGTAGCCAAAAAGTCCGAAATTAGACGGCTGGCTGAAAGAATAACTAAAAGTGATTATTTCTACACAACATTCTTGAATTCAATCAACTTAGCCAGTTTTAGTTATTTGCAGCTACATACAACTGAGTGACTGTCAGTCACTTTATTTGCACACGGGAAACCATTTTCAAAGGTTTTTTTTTGCCAAAACTTTCCATCCTATCGAGATGGTATAGTCTCCCATTTGGCGCCTTATTTACATCGGGTGGGAAATTAGCCAAAAGTTATGCATGGGAAATTAGCTCAACGATAATTTCAGCAGTATTTAATCAATCATACAACCAAACAATTTTTGGTCGCACTCGCATTCGCTTCGCTTTTTTCATGCAAAATGCAAATGTTTCACTGTCAAACTGTTTTTTTTTCTATCTTAGTATATTATTTGCTAAAAGATTGCGAATGGAATGGAAACGCGGACGCTAGCGTATTTTACGCACGTGCACCAGCCAGTAACGGAGTGTGTGTGTGAGAGAGAGAGAGAGAGAGAGAGAGCGGTGCACAAACAAAAATATGAATTCTATTGACCGTAAAAAGGGTTGTACATTGATTAGTTAGTCCGAGAGCTGGAAATCGAAGCAAATGCTTGCAAACAATAATGGAGGCGCATCATCGTCCAATAGCGACATAAACACACAATGAAAACGCCAAAAGAAAAATGGAAAGAAACCGAACCCATTCCGGATTCGTTGATGCTAAGCAATTTGGTTTGTGTTTAACAACACACAGACAACGGCAAATAAATAACAATTGGCTTGATGTATACATAGAAAACCATCGAGAAACATTTCGTCAACTCAAATTCCATCGCATCGTGAAAACTCCAAACAGAATGAATATTCCCCAATTTGTTCACTCACGTAATTTAAATTCAAGACAATTTCTCTGAGCGCATGAATCAAACCAAAGAAGAAGAAGAAAGACAACGTTGAATTTATTAAATTGCCAATGGTTAAATGTATCGATGTGTTTCTATTTCAAGACTTTCTCTCACTGAACCCACTGGTTCGTTTTTGTATCCGTAATCATTTTAACCACATGATCATTTGTTGCCGTTGTTATGTGACGCTTTGTGGTTTTTTGCCATTAGTTCAAAGAATGGAGAGCGAGTAAAACTGACACAAAATTGATTTTAGTTTTGCAACAATGCGTTTCTTTTTGGTTGTTGCTGTTTTTTGAGATTTTTAATTAGATTTACGGAGATTGTAATCAAGAGTTGTTTTGGTTTATATAGAAAACGAATTTGCCGAAAAGTTCCCAATTTCAACGACGAAATGGAATGATTGTTGAGCGAATGAGATGTCATTCCGTTTTTTTTCTACTCCGAATGTTTGTCTGCACAATTTCTGAACGAAAGTGCAGCATTGAAATTGTGCAATCCCAATAAAATTTCAAACCATTCATTCATTTGAGATTGGCTCATCCAAATACAGAACCGAAAATCCAATTCTACAAACAACAAACTATGTCAAATGAGTGAATCAACTGATTTCATTTCTATTTTGGATTCAAGACTCTTCTCCACTTCCAACTACTAGAATCACTTTGTGAAATCAGAATGGAGATAATTCGTTGGAATGGAAGGGGGTCATTGGCGTGTGCACATACACTAATTTAAGCAATACTCTTTTCGATTGCTGCTTTTAATCACGTATTGGATGAAAATCAGAGGCAAAACCGAAAAAGATTTAACGATGCTGTGTGGAAGGGCAAGCAATAATGAACCGAACGAAAGAGAAATCACACAACAACATACGTGCACATCAAAGTGCAAAGGAAATGAACAAATGAATACTTGCTGTTTATGATTGTTCTCCTTATCTGGAGGCCAAAAAGACACACAATCCCAACACAGGTAGATATATATACATTTGTGCTAAGATAATGGATGGAAAACACGAACATTTTCTACATATCGGAATGTACACACTCTATAGAGTGTTGATGTCGACTTTTGTTTCAAATAAATTTGACTGAAGAATGTTTTTACTGACCATTTAGAAATTAATAGGAAACTTTGAGTGAAAATGACTTTTTCTTCTGTGATTTTTTTTGTAGCTCTTCTATTTACAAAGACTTGATAGTTGCCGCTCAAATTGACTGTTTAAGGCTCACCGAGAGAATTACCGGCCTCATGAGACAGTGGGGGAAATGGAAAATTGAACATGTCCATTTGCGTTCAGCATAAAGTATCTTCAAGACCTGTCAAATGTTCGGCTACTTTAAAATATCGCTTAGCAATTAAATGTTGATTAGATGATGCAGCACATATAATGGACATTTGTGCATAAAATGGTTTGGCCAAGAAATTGCAATAGCAGCTCTCTCTCTCTCTCTCTCTCTCTCTCTCCCTCTTTCACTCTGCATCACTCTGCGTGTATGTCTATCTAAATGACTGAACATATTAAAATCATTCGTAGCAGTTTGGCCCTAATGTTTATTTAATGAAATTATCCAAAAGTAAATTTAATATGTGCATCCAATTCTCAGAGTAACATTTATACCACAAATAATTTCGAAACGATGTAGTCACTTTTCGATGTCGAACGGATCATCGATTTAAATCAGAGAGTGTTATGAGCTGATGTCAGCAGCACATAGTGACGTCAGCTGCTGACGAGTATGCGTTGCGTTATTGTAACGTATACACCGTACAAAATTCATATACCACTTCAGATTTGCCAAGGAGGATCAGGACTTGGCAAATCTGGAGGGGAATATGAATTTTCTACTGTGGATGCATTACAACACCGCAACATATACTCGTCAGCAGCTGACGTCAATAAGTGCTGCTGACATCAGCTCATAGCACGCTCTGATTTAAATTGACTCACTTCGATTTTGAGCACATGCAATTCTATAACATACAGAAATGAGCCATTGTCAATAGTCCACAGCTTAGGCAATATTGCTCATTTTACCAGAAAGAAAAATAAAATCACCACCCCGTTGCGCCGAAAATGGCAAGGTTTTTACGAACAAGTGTGTGGTATGAAGTTTGCCTATTGGCTGTGTGCTACTGTTACTGCACACACAACATGAAATAGAGAGGCAGCGTGTGTGTGTGTAACGTAGTAGCTTCAGTGCGCAGTTTTAATGTACGCATAAAACGTAAAAGTACTACATTTCGTTCGCTCGTTTGGATGAATTCAGAAAATGAGAAAACCATATGAGGTTTTGTGTATAGTTAATAATATACTACTTGTTTAACAATTTAATTCAATTTACACGATTAATCACGAACAAAAGCGCACCAGAACTAGGATGCACAATCAATGCGTATTAATGGATGCGAGACAGAGAGGCAGTGAGGAAGAGAGCCAGAGTGAGAGAGCAACATAAGAGAGAAAGTGAAGTCTCGGTGTATAATGTTGGAATGAATCAATCGAATTGCTGGAGATTTTGTTCGGGTGGCTCGCCCTCGACCAACGTCAACTATTCGGAATCAGCAGAGAATAATTTTTCAAAGTTATTTGAAATACCATGGAGGGTGACTCCATGATTTTTTCCCTACTTCTTCTTCTCCTTTTTAGCACTACATGAAATGTAGAGCTACTAATCTGCTTATATTCTTTTTTCTTAATACTTTTTGAGTGATGAAACGAATTATGGTGAATTTGAATCTTATGCTCATATTTTTAATTTTTATTTAATTTAAAACAGGTGCAGTAACGACAAATAAGTGCACAATATCTCAAAGCGCCAATCAAATTTTTATTATCAAATGTTGTTTAAAAATTACATTAATTTTTCGTATAACATTTTCTGAGTCTTGAACAGAATTAAAGTGATTTTAGATTCTATGCTCATATTATTTATTTAATTTAAACCAAAGGCAGTATATTTCAAAAAAGAAATTAAATCAAGATCTTGTAATTCATTTTGCAAATAAATATATTACTTCAAAGTTACTTTGATGAAATACATTTCATGTAGTGCGCCAAAAAATAGTTTGTTGTGAAACAACAAAATAGATTAAGTAACTAAAAACTCAAGAACGCAGAGCGGAGCGAAGTTAACAAATGAGCACAATACTCAGAATACTCAGCTCAAACATTCTAAATTTTATCGCACAGATCACTCGCCATTTATAATTTTTGGCTCTTCAAATAATAAATGATGTAATACACTTGATCAATACATCAAGCCATTTGCCGAACAGTTTTTCTCTCTCTTTCTCTCATTTCCTTTGAATGTGAAACGCTTGGATTGACTCCTGCTGCCGTGTTTCTCAAATGGGTTACTAGGCAAAAGCAAAACAACAAACACACATTCTGCGGTTCTTGACTTCTCCCATTTTTTATTCAACTGGAAAAAGTTTTGATAGCCTTAAACAAGAGCAACTTCAAATTAACAGGTTCGTTTTTTTTTTGTTTCAACATATTTGAACCGGAACGGTGGTACGGTAATTGAAGCGAAACCATCACTTCATTTTGAATGTTTGCAGTCGATTTAATTTCAAAAATATTATAGTTTTTACAAATGTAATGGATCTGTCATATTTTAAATAAAATGTTTTTTGTATCGTGGTTTTTATTATATTTCCTCCCCTAAAATTAACATTAATGCTCATTTATAATAATAGATCAGTACTATTTAATTGATATCATATTACATGAAAGCAAATTGTTTTTCTGGAATTTGATGCATGGTAGTGACATAAAAGGTAATTAAGTAGCGATATAATACTGATAAACTTGAGAATGCTGGACCTATTTATTCCAGAAAACTAAAACGATATTTTGGTAATTTTCATTTTCTACAACAGATGACAAATAAAACAATCATCACAAAAATAATAAAGAAAACAGATAAAAAGTGTAAAAACTTGTAAAAAAGATTTATTTTTCTGTTATGTCAACAAACAAACAGAAATTGGTCATGAGCTGGTAATAATCACCCGAAATTTACTCGATAGATAGGAAAAAAGTGTGTAAACTGCATATGAATTTTAATGTGATGTCGTGTGTGCTGTTGTTTGTGCATTTATTTGGCCAGTTCATCAATAATAATGTTTTATATATGAATTACAAATTGTTGAATATTTCAAAGGTTTTGTTTGCGCAAAAACTGCGCATTTTACTCTTTCTCTTTTTCTATCGCTCTTTCATTCTTTTTATCTCTCTCTATCTCTCTCTATCTACGAGTATCGTCTATATATTAGTTTTTCATCCGTACAGATGCGTTAGCATGTTCATCGTTTGTATCATTCATATATTCGCATGTAGACGCGCCAAATGTGTAAAATGTGGGCATTTTCGTATACTTGGGAAAAAAGGACGAGCCCAAAAAGCAAAGAACAAAAAGTTAGAAGCAAGCACTTTAGTAATTAGTTTTTCATCATGAATGAAAATTACATCAAACATTTTCGGTAGATATTCTCTCCCGTTGCTTGTACGCTCTTCTGTGCCCGTAGAAAACACAATCCCAACATCATTGCAATAAATGGTAAAGAGTATTGGTGAATGTTTACAAGGCGGCGTGTGGAGAACATCCACGTAAATTGTCGAGATAAGCGATAATTGTAGGCGTGCATTTGAGAGACCGTGAACTGCCGTATGTGGCGATGGGGGCAATGTTTCTAGTACAACCGATCCGAAGAGATGGAACATTAGGCGACAACATAATTTCGTTGTGCTTTTTCCATTTATTTTCGAAGAAGGAGAAAAAAAATTGTTGGATAACAGTGTGCATATGAATAGATCCGACGCCGTGAATGATGAATAAAAAAAACGAATGAATCTTTTTCAATGTCTCGTTTGCTTTTTGACTTAACATTTGACACATCGATTTCAGAGTCGAAAATCTCTAAATTCCAGACAAAAGTTCAGAGAGAAAAAAAGCGAGAGAATGTCATGGTTTTGTTTTCGCCTTATGTGTAAGTGTCTCAATTCATGCTTTCGAGCATAAAACCAAATCCAGTCTATACATTGCATACATGATAAAGGAGCAAGTGAGCCCATGCAACGGGAAGGTCCATTGGAAACAACAGTGTTAGATGTAATGGCACAGCCGAATGTCGAATCCAACGAACCGAATTAAGTACTCACATTTCTGTGACGACTACGACGATGAAGACAACGCAGTGTACAGCATACATGCAAACACACACACACACACTGTAATTTTTCGGCACGGGCACAGGCATCGCCATACCAAAACAAACGACGATATTTATTTTGTCCATTAGCCATTTGTATGCCCTTTTTTCATTCTCTTCTGCTCTTCGTCTGTTTGAAGTTTAGCCGAATAGTGAAAGCTCACAAAAAGCGAGACACTTCACTTTTGGATACATTCCTCTTGCTGTTTTCTTTTACTTGGTTATGTGATGCCTCCGCTCGACTGCATCCCATTTTTACACTTGATAAATTGATACACTTGTAGTGGTTGGCGCTCACTCCAGATTTTGTCATCATCGCACCAGAAAATTGCTAACGCGAAATTTTCTGGTAATTCAGATTGCATGAGATTACCCCAAATCGTGTATACCAACTTCCACCAAAATGATCCTTCGAAGGAATAGCGTCACCTCTTTGACTCATTTAGCCATTCATCGTTTCTCAATCTTGAACTTCAGCGTAAATATACGTAGACAAAACCATCGGCAAAATAAAAAAATAGAAATCGTGTAAATAAAGAAAGCCCAACGCAGTAATAGTGCGGTACATAACCAGAGATTCCGTCATGGGCGATTTATTTCTTGACTGCGAATCCCATGTTGATTTGTCAGTTGTGTTTTTCGTGTCGCTTTTATTGTATTATGGGCACGCAACGGCCGAAATAAAGCATTCGTTCAAAATCAGATTGACATACATATTTATTCTTATTCTTCTTTTTTCTTTTTCTCTCTTGAGTGTTTTTGGTGTTTGCTGGCATTTTGCGTATCCATAATGTGGTGAATAAATAGTACCCGCAGTAACCGAAGAAATGGTGCTGGCTACTATATGTGACACTTGACATGAACATTGCTAGACAGCAGCTAAAAAAAATGTATATTCAAAATTACAGTGTTTCGACGAGGTTGCTATTTAACATTTGACGTGCACGATGTCATTCATTAAAAATGTAGTTCAAGTGATGATGCGGCCGTCTTGAACAAACGAATTCAATATTTTTCGCATTCGAATGTACAACATGAAAGCGGTAAAAAAAATGCTTATAAATTTTAATCGCATTTTCTTCATTTGAGTTGAAAAATGATGTTTTCAATCAGTAAACAAGGAAGATGAATGATACTACTGTTGCAGCAACTGGCTGATGACCGAACACAAATCAAACGTAATGCTTCATACAGTAAATGATGCCATTCGAAAATTAGACAACAAAAACAGAAAAAACTCATAGGAATAAAAAACAACAAGTCATTAATGAATTATGTACTTGGAAATATTTGCTAGATTCCAAATCGATGGGGATGTGTGAATACGAAATTTCGCTTGTGTATTTGAACAAATGACACAATCATCGGGTGCATTGGCGCGAACATTAAATCTTTTGGAAATGTGCAAACACATGGCGAAAAACATCGATTCGACAGCGATATTTTTATGAAGTCATCACATTGAAGTTGGAATTTCAACTACTCTCTCTATCAAGTCTATTAAATAGAAAACATTCGGTTTATAGTTGTATTTTACGTTCACTAAAGAATCATTACTCTTCTGGTTGTTTGAGAGGCGAGAGATGAACAGAGGGTTCGAGTGAGCATTTGGTGGCTCAACTGCTGTGGTACAACAAACAACAACAATAACATCAAAAAGCAAAAGTAATAGCAAAAGATAGGAGAAGGAATAAAAAAAAGGGACAAAACCGGGTACCATTTAAATCGAGCCAAATTTGGCACCGGTTTAGGTATCAGCATGTGAGCACAAACACATCAGTGTATATACAAAAGCATTTGTGCAAACAACAGCAATGCATGCACACAACAAAGCGATGACAAAACTCTATATTGTCGCCTTAAAATGCACCGAGTGGAAATGCTTACAACCTTTTGACAGCTTATAATTTATTAGCCAAGAAGTGTTTTTCACTGAGCGGAACCAAATTGCCGAATGAAGGATACATACACATGTACATGCACACACGCCGAGAGAGAGAGAAAGAGAGAGAGAGAGAGAGAGAGAGAGAAAGCATAAAAAGAGTGTCGAATGAATACTGTGTCAATGTTATGAATATAAAAACGCAGTCGAATTTAGATGTCGATGAAATATGGTATGTTTTCACGTTTGGTAGAGCGAACATCGATTCGCTACAAGAAACTGGCATCGATATAGCCAGGGGTGAGGTGCTAAGCACATCCTAAACACTTTGCATACAATGGAGAGCATTCAATAGAAAGACGAACAGTTAAATAGAGATATTTGCACATATGTGGTGTCAAAAAAATAAATAAATTAAATAAATAAACAGAATTCCATAAAAACAAAAACAACCAACCAACCATCCAACCAACAAAGTCTGTAACAAAGCATTTTCTCTAATCAGCTCTCTTCCTCTGCTCTCCTCTCCCTATCTCTCTCTTCCACCGTCCGTTGAATGTGCCCGTGCACCCAAAACGCCAATTGAATTGTATTTAAAAATTTATGATGTGTTAAACGCTAGCACTTGCAATCAGCTTAATCATAATCCAACAAAAGACAACAACAGCATCACAAGTATAAAATGCAAGCAAATATAATCGGTCGGATGGTTTGGGCTGGTGAGGCGCGTCTGTGTACAACATTTCATGCTCTATGACACCCCACATATTACGAAACAGAGAGAGAGAGCGAGAGAGAGAGAGAGAGAGAAAAAAAAACAACAATGACACATTCGACTGTTAGTGTCGCAGCGGCAACAAATATTGTCGGAATTACTTAAATAAATAGCGTGTCAAAGGCATTGTATACATTGTTGCCGAGCGCAAGAAATCAAACAAATGGCATTAAATAGAATTTTCATTTTCACATATTTCGCCTCGTTTAGCCTTTGCACTACTATCTAGCTAATAATCAAATGGCTATAAACGAATCAAAGCGGGACTTTGCTCGTTATTTCGTTGAAAGCATCACTTAAATGGTCCTAAAATGTCGCGCTCTTTTCACATCTATTGACAAAAATACTTTGAATAATTAGAACCATAAACAGTTTGAAATGAACGCGGCATTCATTACGAAGGCCATTATCTACATTAAGTTACTTCTGTAGTGGTGTACGGTACGTAACCATTCGCCGCATTACACATGCACTGCGCATGCTGATTAGTATTAATTAAATAAAGTCACTCAGTCTTGAGTATACAGCCTAAGCTGCAAGTTGTCTGATTAATTATCCACACATACAGGAGGCCATCTGAGAGTCTCTGACCTCAGATGGCCCACCGATGTTCATTTGGACTCTCTCGTTAAAATGAAGTTTTCGCTCTGACACTAAAATTCATATATTCTTTTTTAATATTCATCTTTTGGGTTTGATATTGAAATTAAAATACTCGAATCGTGTAGGATTTTCACAACTCTATTTCGAAAGGTCAAAAATACTATGAAATTTGGTTTGGTGTTGCAAATTGATTTCACAATCGATCAAATTCATTGAGACATAAAGTAGGCGTACAAAATTGATTTATTGCACCAATAAATAGCGTCTATTCAACGGCGGATAGAAGAAAAAAACGCATCGTGTTGCACGCGATATTGAACGGGAAATATGAAGCGAAGAGGTGACAATTGGTGCGAACGCTATGCATTTGATGCGTCAATTTCACTGACAACTGCTTTAAAACTCCGGCGTCACGTTTGTGTTTCTACATAAAGTGATTCTTGTTTGTTGTGCCGGAAGCGCATATTTTGTCTATATGATTGAGTTTCAGTCGCTTTTATACGAGGAGCTATGGTCTGACTGCTATCGTTCAGCACGACCACATGCCCTGCAATTGAAGCAACACTCAAGTCACGTGGCTTATTTTGTTTCACCATAATAACAACGCCCTCTTCAAGTGCTCACAATTCATGTTTTGTCACGGCTTTTCAATTGGATGATGGGAATTTTTTTGGACATTCGACATCATATTAAACCGATTTAGTGGAAATTGATCCGATAATTATTAGCTATGAAGTGGCACAAATTAGTTCTGGATCACAATCGGCGAAAGCACCCCAGTGCTGAAAGTCAAACGCACCTATATATATACACACAATTTTGAACCTTTTTTCCAAGAGAGCATTTCGTATGAATGAAGTATCGTCAGAAAGCACCACGACTCATTGGGCCAGTAAATGCATTCAAACTTGGAGATTGATCAAACATAAATAAAAATTAAAATTGAATTCCCTAGATAAGTTCCCAAATTGGAGCTAAAATTTGACGTATAGCATACATCTGGCAAAATTCACTGTTTGAATATATGGCCGTTAGAAGTTGAAGAAATTCGCGGAAAATCCAGAGAAATTAATCTTTTTGGCGTAAATGCAAACGATGCTGTAGTTAAATATTGATGAATAATTTCACATACATATCAATAAAAATGTCTGAAGATGCCATGAGCTGAACGACCATTTCACAATTTATTCGTTTGAAATTCAAACTTTAGATGCCATGTTTTTCCAGTACTGAAATTTTGTTTCAGTAGATGAATCGTCGGAAATATTCGTTTGCCATCGGATTCGATTGTGATATCAAGGTTGCTTTCTTCGTATACAAATGTATGGGAAAGGTTTAACGTAAGACGCCAAGACGCCTCTACGCGTGGAATGCTCAAAGCTGTCATCATACACATATTGAACACGAACATTGCTAGGGGAATTTAACTCTTACGAGTTCAGCATGTTTTTTGCCAGTTTGCTTGATTCGCGGGAGTTCGACGCGTTCCTTGTACGTACTGACGCGCACGGTCACAAGTTTACACAAGTTTGTTTATGGTTTTGCGCGTTTTTCAAGTTGTTATTTGACAATTAAAACGCGTTTCAAGCTAAAAATCGGTTGTTTACGTGTATAAAGATTTTTCACATCCTTTCCAAAAGTTCAAAGATTTTTATAATTATAAAATGGACAAAGGAAATATTTTTAAAGAGCTGGAGAAAGTGTTGAAGAAAAAGTTAATCCAGATATAATAAATGGAACGACTGATGTGTGCGCGTCGTCCAGCTACAAGTTTGCACACGAACTCGCGCGCGTTCGCGCATGTTGTTTTAATACGGAACTTGTCAACTGAGTGGAATCATGCAAGTTCTCTGGTGAATGTAACAATTTCGTGCGCGTTTATATCATTTTTTTACAAGTTTTCACGTAGTTAAATCCCCCTAGGAACATTGTCGTTTACACAATCGCACTCACCTTCGGCAATATTGTAGAAAATGGAAATAACTCGCTGTCTTTTTCCAGTAGTGTGAAAAATGCCTACTTGTGTCACTTTTGCTCGCAACTTCATTTGTTTCTTTTTTGCTCTAAGTTTTTTTTCGTTTCATTTATCGGCAAAGAGTTCAGAAGTTGTTATTTTGTTCTTAGGCTGTCAAATAGATTAGAGGTTTCTCTGAATTGAAATAACATTTGATTCCATGTAAAATTACGATTTTATTCAAAGAACTCTGATTTAAAGCAGGACGTGTTATGAGCTGATATCAGCTGCTGACGAGTATGCGTTGCGTTGTTCTTTTAAGTTAGTATAAAAACGAAAGGGTGAGTAAACTTACCATTGGTGCGATTGGACCATTGGTATGGAAAGTTTTCTCACCATTTCATTCTTATACTATAAATGCGTTAGAACAACGCAACACAACGCATACTCGTCAGCAGCTAATATCAGCAGCTGACGTTAGTTAGTGCTGCTGACATTAGCTCACAACACGCTCTGACTTAAAGAACAAAAATTATTTTAAAAATGGATTCGTTCAGATTTTAATTTAAAACTAAATGAAAAGATTGACGCCGAGTTTGTTCACATTGAAAATGTTGAAGCGTTCGCCGTATCAGAGTGAAAGAATTGCTTTTAATTCTTTCTGGGTGGATAGAGTGGATGGTTTAATTTCGATAGGTCCGGATTGTTCTTTTCGAATTCGGCGATTTGATCCACATCAATTTGAGCAATTTCCCATAGTTCTGGATTTTCGCTTTTGAATGTATTATACCACTTGGTAACCAATGGATAGTGATCGAATTTATAACCAATTCCTTCCAACGGCAATGTTCCACTAATCAATCCGATGTCAGCGATAGTAAGACAATCACCAGCAGCGTACTTTGTGTTTTTTTTCTTCAAATATGTTTCATAGGTATTCAACGATAATTCAACCTTCTTTTTACCTAGTTCGTCCCGGGGGAAGTCAAAGAATTGTGGAGCAATCTGTATTAAAAGTTGTCATTAGCAACTAAAAATCATATGGTGTACCCAAATGTATTTGAACAAGTCTATCAATTTACCGTGTATTGAAAGATGTGTTTGTAATAGAATAGCATATTGAAGCACAAACGTTGGTTGACGAGTGCTCTTTGCTTCGGTTCTTTTGGGTATATTGGATTCTCTGGAGCATACTGATCGCATAAGTACTGCATTATTGCAATACTTTCGCTCAATATGAATCCATTGTCATCGAGCACCGGAATTTCTTTTTGAGGATTCAACTAAAATATGAAATAAAAATTCCAGAAAAAAATAATTAATCCTCATATGACAACGGGCAGAGATAAATTTACCTTAAAATATTCATCGGTTAGATGCTCTCCAATGTTATAGTTTACATCAACCAATTCGCATGGAATGTTTAATGCTTTCAACGCCATACGACAAGCGTACGATGGCGGCCCATCACAAACCACATACAATTTCATGTTGTTTTCCAAGTAAAAAAAAAACTAAACTTAAAGCAAAACAATTGACGTTTCGACTGAATGTTTTTTAACCAATTTTATGATACTTCTATTGAAAAGAAACCAAGATAAGAATGAAGTGTATAATAATCACTTTTGTTTTTGGGCTGATGAAAACAAAGACCACAGCTAAGCTGTTGGATGAACTGATGCGTCGTCAACACTTTATATTTATAACACTGAAAAATATTTCCAATCATGTGATCGAAACACTTCGGAACGCAATGCTCGTGTTGTTGGTTTTAACCGGTTCAGTAAACAAATGTATACCTGATGCGCATACATTTAAAACGAAACCGGAATGCGCGTGTAGATTGATCATTCCATTTGTTTTTGTATTTATTCTTTCTCTTAGTATTGTATTTTGGCTTAAGAAAAGACTAGGAATGCCTCTCAATAAGCCCAAAATTTTTAGTTTCTTCACTGTAAGTTTTCGGAGGGGAATGAGTCATCTAGATACAGTGCAAAATAGCGGTTTAAACTGTTTTTGGATGAATTTACACTAATTTTAGGGGAAAATGTGTTATTACTTATGCGAACGCTCAAGTGGTTACTATTCATATACGTACCAATACATGGACAGTGGACACGCACTGGTCACCAAGTCTGTGCAGTTGTATGTATTGTAAATTTTGCACACAGCAACTCGTTCAATACATACAACTGCATAGACTTGGTGACCAGTACGTATCTATGTATTGGCATGTATATGAATAGTAGCCACTTAGCCCTTTGTTGGAACAAACACTTTGATAGATGAATGAAACATGTATTTTAGTTTGATACATTCTTGAGCGTATTCATGGCTTATAAAATTATGTATGAGACTTATTCTCACAGTATACAGGGTGGCCCAAAATAATTGTCACTTTTATTTTTAGGCATAAATCACACATTTTTCGAGATAATTGAGTACTTATTTTTGCATACGGTAGATATGGTCAAGATATTTTTATTTCAGCCACCAAATTTGTTTTTCCTAAAATTGTGGCCGAGTTACAGCCATAGATGTGTAATAATTTGCGCTCTCACAGTGTAATTTATTGATGCCTTAGAAGTTAAAAACACCAATCAATACTGTCATATTGTATCTTAGCTGACGACGAAAAATTTTTATTCTGCGGCGCCTCGATTTCACGAATTTTTCGAGAAAAATCGACTAAAATCACTATATTCATAGGAAATATAATGCAAAAACATATTTAAGTAGTCGAAAACATTTAAATGTCCCGAGTAAATCGGGGAAACGGTTCGTAAGGCATCAGGCCTTTGCGTATACCTTACGTATATTTGCATAGGAGCGAGCGAATATTTCCTTTACATTTAGTATTTCGCGAAAGAGAGAATGAAGAAGAAACAACAACAATGTTCGTTCGTTCCTATACATGACGGCCTGAGAAGAAGAACCTTTCCTACAAAACCTGTGCGCAGAACACAAACACAGAAATTTTTTAATCAAAAGGCGAACAGCAAATGTGCGAGCGCAAAAACCTAATATATTAACAGCGAGCGCAAAAGTATAACAAGCCTATTAGCATGCAAACTCCGTATAAGTAGACCTGTTATGCTTTTGCGCTCGCTGTAAATATATTCGGTTTTTGCGCTCGCAAATTTGCTGTTCGCCTTTTGACTAAAAAATTTCTGTGTTTGTGTTCTGCGCACAGGTTTTGTAGGAAAGGTTTTTCTTCTCAGGCCGTCACATGTTCTCTTTCTGTACTGTTCTAACATACACATATGCGCATTCACATCGACGCAAAGTGTTTATGAACCTGCTACACAGCGAGTATTACTTATACATAGACGCTGTTATAGTAAGTTCATAAGCACCTCGCGTCGATGTGGATGCGCAGATGTGTATGTTAGAACAGTACAGAAAGAGAACATGTATAGGAACGAACGAACATTGTTGTTGTTTCTTCTTCATTCTCTCTTTCGCGAAATACTAAATGTAAAGGAAATATTCGCTCGCTCCTATGCAAATATACGTAAGGTATACACAAAGGTCTAGATGCCTTGCGAACCGTTTCCCCGATTTACTCCGGTTGATTGGATGTTTATTTTTCAAGTAAATAGTGAAAAATGTTAAATTCCGATGGTTTGGCTTGAATTGGCCGTCCAAGGTACATGTTTAGAATGGCCTCCAGACAGTTATGTAGTGAATAATTTCGTTCAGGTATCGAGGAGCTGGTTCGCAAGAGGTGCTCGCGGACATGTTTGAATTAAATAATGCTAAAAATAATAGTAATAGCTATACCAAATGTTGAACCAACAGAGAAAAAAACAAGTGAAAATGATAATCGCAATGAATATTTGCATAAAATATGATGAGTCAGTTGAATTTTTGATTTAGCAAGCGAGAAAAAAGACTACAAACATTTCTATTCTTTCAATATAAATGCGGTTCCACGTCTGCCGATGTGCATCCGCATTCGTGGTTCAGAATTTGAAAGGAATGTTATCTAACAAAACACGTTTTATTTACTTAATTCATCTATTATTTAGTATGCTGTTCTAAATGGCGTTACGTGTTTTGCAACGATTGCTAGAGACTTCATTTCACTCGACGATTTGGTCCTTGCCACTTTTTTTCCCGGATTGCATTTTATTTGTTCGCTAAATCGTATCGCTTAAGTGATCGCGATCAACAATTATTTACGGATGATGAACACAAAGACGTTCGCGAATTGAAAGAAAAAAACCTGTTGAATGTGTAGCCGGTTCAATTGATTGCTAGAGGATTGTATAACAATTTTTTGTCGAATGTAAATTTCGGTTTTTGAGACTATAGACGTGTGACTGTTACGACTGCGACCGCTACGACGGTACGATTTGATTCATGAAGTTGGGCTGCAATACACTTGTTCAGTGTTTCAATGAATGACCGTTCGAACACTGCACAGCTTAACGTTCGAGTGTGGTACTTTACGGTTTCGCAAACCTTCCACCAAAAATATCACTCTATAAAATTCGGCCTGCAAATTGCAGACTGCATGCCGAAAGGTAATCTATGTCTATGAACAGTTAAGGTGTTTTTTTTCTTCAAGGTACAAAAACTAAATCGCACTTACTTGAACTCTGGCTTCGGTTAAATCGATTTTCATGGCAATTTCTTCGCGTGTATAGATGTCCGGATAGTGAGTCTCTTGGAAAGCACTGCAAGAAGAAAGCATTAAAATATGTTGATTGTTCAATGGAAAGGGATTTGTCTGTGCCGAAACATTCAATTGAAAAAGGAAAACATTTAGTCACATGCTTTTCAAATAGTAATAGTTTGATCCCACTTACCGTTCGAGCTCCTTCAATTGGGCCGATGTAAATGTGGTACGGATGCGTCGTTGTTTCCGTTTTTCACTTAATACCGATTCGTGACTGGAATACACTTTGTAAGGAAGACCGGCTGCAAAAGATAGAGAGAGAGAGAGAGAGAAAACGAAACCAGTTTGAGAAAAATATATATCGTGAAATCGAAGGAACGGATACGAAGAAAAACAATTGATTAGCCAAAACTGAAAGTGACGTTAACTAAACGATGACGATGAATCAAATTCATTTTCAACAATATCGGATGGAGCCATCAAAGCGTTCGGATTGGTCGATAAAAATAAACGATCCCATCGAAACGAAATAAATGGCAAGGACTTTCGAAAAAGGACCCATACTCAATGCGATGCGGCATCTGTTGGTCTTTTTCACGTAAAGAAAACCATCCAACCTAACCATTTGGACGCGCATCACAATGATTTAACATTTGCTATCAATATACAATTACTCACTGAAAAAACAGCGTCGTACATGAAACAACTCAATCTAATTAACATTTGAGATTTTTGTGTTGTTGTTTTTGCGCTTCACTTGGAGCATTCACGGTTAAAAATGATTCGTCAATTGGATTAAGGAGACACAATTCCTTTGACAGTGAGGGACAAACGATAGGTGAAATTAATCACATTATTCATCCAAAGTGTGAATTCCGAGCAACAGCCCAGGTAAATGCAATTTGAAACGTCTGTGTGAGCGAGAGTGTTTTTGCTTTCTTCACTGCTGTGACAGATAGTTGGCTGTAATTTAATTAGCCACGAATTTAACGTGGAATGCAGAAAAGATTTGCCATGATTTTGTTTTATCATGAATAAATAAACATGATTAAATTGAGTTTTATTTGAAATTTGTTATGCGCAAATGGAACAGGCAAGCGAATGGACATCTTTCATTTCGAACCATTCTCCGAATGAATTAAAATCAATGGAAATTGAAACGAAAGTGACCGTTTTCTGATCGTATTCAATTGCAACCAACTACAAATTCGACTCCAATGGTCTTCAGCTCAATTTGAAAATTAAAAGTTCATCAATTCGATCCATTATATCATGGCCATTTGATTACACCATCAAATTAGTTGCTTTTATTTCATTTCGAATGAAGAAACACACAGCCGTCAAGTGAATCACTAACACAAAAATCAGCAGAAAGAGAGAGAAAAAAAACAATGGGATTGCTCTTGTTTATATCTACAAGAGTTTGACTTTTTCGTTCTTTTTCCCATTCATTTGTTCTTTCGAACGAAAGAAAAGTAATTATTGTTGATCCAAAACTCTTAGGTATCAGTAGCGATATTTCCAAATGCATAAAACCATCGGGCACGAATATGAATGAAAGAGTCGGTATAATGCAAACGAAACTTGATGGCAACAGAAACGAAGCTATCCACCAAGAAGAAAAGAAAACGCAAAACAAACAAACGTACAAATGAAATGAAATAAAATGTCGAAACGCTATTTCTAAGGCGGTTTTATCTCTCACAGTGGTTTGCTTTTCAGCTGCTACTGCTGTTGTTACATTTAACTACGTCTATGGGCCGTTGCTTGCTTACATGTCATTCACGCCATACATCCTGTACGGTTTGTCGTTGGTACAAGATGTAGCATCACCTACACACCGCCAAAAAAATAGAAATGGCACACATATACACACCCTCTAACACTTAGATACGCTCACATATTTGTGATATTCATGAGTTCGGAGTTGGAGCCTCGGCACTAGCGTCTGGTGCGGTACAATCAAAACGCGCAATAGACTCCATATTATTTTACATTGTTTCGCAATGTGTTCGCATCGGCACACTGTCATTTTCATCTCTTGCGTATTTTAGTATGCGTGAATTAAGACACAAAGTCTTCACATTATATAACATTTATGTACGCGCACGGACTGCAGATTGTTATACTAATTTTGTGAGACTTTTACATTCTTTTTCTAAGGATATGTATATGACTGTCACAATCTGTGCGTATCACGAAAAACTCTCTTTCTCTCTTTTGCTCATCATTCAAACTCAAGAGCATCAAATTTTACCTGCGCTACGAAATGGCGATTGCTATCATATCCTCATCCATTACGAATATCGATTTAAATACTTATTCGCTTCTCGAATGCATCATTTCAACGTTCTGATTTAATCAAGCTACTTTTTGCAAATGCAAGAATCATTTTTCCTGATTTTACGATCATTTTGAATACTATGCCATTATTTCCGAGATTATTTTTATAGAAATGTTACTGATTGTTGTGAAAACGATGGGAAAATTGTTCAATGAATAAATATGTTTCAGGTATTCAGGTCGGATATATTAGTTGTTTGATCAATTTTTACTTTTTTTCAGTTTTTGAAACATTTTTCCTTTTCTTTCTTTCTTAAAATTGTTCTCCTTAATTGCAACGTGTGCTTCTCTGTCATAAGAACCAATGTATTTGACGTGACAGTGAATAGCGGTGACGCCTAAATAGAATCTGCGGCAACTTTAGGAACTATCAATACTTCTTGTTGTTGCGAAATTCGTGACAACAACAAAAAGTATTGATAGTTCTTAAAAATGCCGCAAATTGCTGATACATCTTATTTAGGCGCCACCGCTATCTTGCGGTCTAAAGCATATGTTGCTTAATTGATACCCCTTTTACTACATACAGCACTTTCTTCTCTTTGTTCTGTTTTTTATCATAGCAATTCTTCAGTATCTTCAACATTCTAACTTAGGATAAGAAAAGGCGTCATTTAGAGCAATCAACTTTGCTGCACTAAATCTTGCGGACGACATTGTTTGTTGCTCATGACTTTGAACATGATGTTGAAATGAAAAAAGAAATGTGCCCCAGATTATTTAACATTAATCTTTTAATTGTGTTTGTGTCTTTATAAAGAATCAACTTTTTTGAATATTTCCTGTTAAATTTTTATAATATTCAATTAAAACAATATTATTCTCACTATTATTGCAGCTTCTTTTGACAGTCAGCTAAATGTTGATTTTTTTCTGCTTTCTTGGTCGTTTTTGAATAAGTACTTGCAAGTGTTCGATTAACACGAAAATGCATGACATTTCTTTCAACTTTTTACTTTGATTTAAGAAGTTACCAGAGTAAACGTACAAATGTAAAAAACAGAAGAAATGAGTGAGCACATATGGGCTTTTTCGTTCCATTACACAGTTAAAGAGGTATAACGATGCAGTTTTTATTTTTTTTCTTCAGAAAAATTACCGAATTTTCAATCGGTTTTTTTTTCTTCTAAATAATGAATTCAATGATCAAAGGAGCATTTCTGAAGTTTCAGGTTAAAAAAAACTGTAGAAGAAACTAGTTATTTCAATATTGATTGATGATATGGAAGAAAAGTCCACATACACAGTAAGAAAGTTAAAGCCAATTTTCAGAGATTTTTAGAATTTTAATTGTTTTTTTTTGTTATTAAATGCACATTCATCTTTTTAATATTATGGTTTCTATACATTTTTAGAATTTAAATCATACATAACTGTAAACTTACTCAATTTGAAACATATTTCATGTACTCCGTAAAAAATAGATGGTTGTAAAACAACAAAGTAAAAGTTAATCAATGCAACTCTCAAGTACGGTCTTGTTTCTTTTCTCAGAAACTTTTTGAACAAATTTTTATGAACAAATTGAAGAACAAAATGATTATTCTCTTTCAAATTTTGTATTCTTCAATTTTAGTATTCATTCTTCATGCAGGAAATCGAAAGTCCAATCAATCGTTTTGGCAGCATTGCTTGTTCTGAATCACACATTCTGCAAGATGTTTGTATATACGCATTTGCTCACTTGAGCTTGTAATCAGATAAATTAATGTAAGCACATCATTGTGAGCAGTGAGCACACATGAACCTAAATGTACTCTGTACTGTATATTGTATATTGTACACGAAGTGTATCGAAAATACAATTGAAAAACACAGCAGAGGTACAGCTGTCAAAAATCGGTATTTTATTAATATGTTAATAAACAACATATTTTAATAATTAATAATTTGAAACACCATATTTATTAACGTTAATAAATATAGTGCATTTTATTAACATATTAATAATTATTAGTATGGTGAATTTTCGGTTATTAATATGGTGTCGATTTTATTAAAATGTTAATAACGATATTTTATTAGAATTCTAATAAAATCGACAACATATTGGATTTCATCCGATTTTATCAACGAACGACATCATGTTCACATCAAAGTTTATTCAACACAGCGTTTAGATTAAGACAATCATTTATCACGACAAAATCTCAAAGAAAAACGAGTCTGGAGATATTCGACATTTTTTTTGTATGAAACTTTTCAAAAAAATTGTGAAGAAAAGTTTTATACGAAAAACATGTCAAATATTTCCAGACTCGTTTTTCTTTGAGATTTTGTCGTGATAAATGATTGTCTTAATCTAATCGCTGTGTTGAATAGACTTTGATGTGAACATGATGTCGTCCGTTGATAAAATCGGATGAAATCCAATATGTTGTCGAATTTATTAGAATTCCAATAAAATCGGCACCATAATAATAACCACATTTTATTAAAATTCTATTGGGTCTATACATTAGTTTTTTCGTTTTTTTTTCTTTGGAAAATCGTTTATTTCAATATGAAAATGAAAAAATACATTATTCAAAATATTGGCCGTCGGAAGCTACAACTTTTTCTCATCTTTCTGGCAATTTGTGGATTCCATCCCAATAAAATTGCGCCGGCTTGGTGGCCAAAAACGTAGAGAGCCAATTTTCGATTCCAGTGACTGAAGTGAACCGTATTCCGGTGAGGGCGTTTTGCATCGAGCGAAACAAATGGTAGTCGAATGGTGCCAGGTCTGGGCTATAAGGCGGGTGGGGTAACGGCTCCCATCCAGCATTTTCCACGTAATTTTTGACTTGTTGCGCCCGATGAGGCCGAGCGTTGTCATCATGGAAAATGATTGATTCGTGGCGGGTGGCATATTCGGGCCGTTCACGTTGGATTGCTGCCTTCAGACGGATTAATTGCTGTCGGTAATGGTCTCCAGTAATGCTCTGACCAGGTTTTAGCAGCTCACAGTGGATCACGCCCTTCTGATCCCACCAAATACAGAGCATTACCTTGGCGCCGTGGATACTCGGCTTTGGCGTCGATTTTGCCGGTTGACCGGGCTTGGTGAAAAACGGCTCAAAACATTCTTCACAATGTGTGTGTACGAGTCGAACGACATTCTCCGGAAGAGAAATGTGAATCCGATCTACTTTTTCAACGCCGCCGATATTCGAAATGCTGTGAATTACACATACAAACGAGTAGATACCACTGATGGTGATGTTCTTGCACAGCAACGATTGGCCAGCCTTCTCGAGGATTTGAGACAAATTGGTGCGCCACATGATTGCAACATTCGTGATTGGGTTGGCGGTGCAAATTGGTTTCAATCATTGCGAATGGGGTTAGAAATACAACGGGCTGTGCACTGCACAGTGTGCAGTACTTCCATCTTGCATACGCCAATGTTTACGCCAGTTGGAATTTATTCCACAAATACCCATTGTATGTGACACGACCAGCAGTTCCGGAGCCACCGACAATTGCGAATTTCACGGTGATACCCAAGTGCAGTTTCCAGCGCAGTTGTCAATGAAGTGCCACTCAAGTTCGGTGCAACATTCAAGTCTGGTCTCACACGCTTGATAAATATCAGAGGACCCGAATTCGGCCTCAACCAAACTGGCAGCTGGGGACTATTTTTTGATCTCGACAATATCGCGGCGTTGGTGAACGGAACGAAGCAATTTGACCATCAAATTGTGTCGGATGGCGTCTCAGTTACGGTGTGCTATGTACGGCCAGATCGACCAGAACCAGTAATATCGGACGACGAATTGCTCTGTGAATATGAAGCTCTGACATTTTGGTATGTGCTTGGCATCGATCCCGGAATGCGAACGTGGAATGCTACTGTACGACGAGATGTACGCACCGAAGAGGTAAGTGGATTTATTTTCAGATTTTCATTTTTTTTTTTGAAGAACTTGTTGGAAACTTTGCCCTAAGATTGCGTTCCTAACTTCTTTCAATGTATTTCTTATGGTTATTTGGGGTGCGTTCATCTACCGATTGTACTGATTTGACATTTAGGGCATAAATTTGATCGAATTTCCAACAAGTTTTTTGAATGAAATTTTACAATTGCTTGTGTTTCTGATGGAAATTTCATAGGTCAACATGAAAACATCGAGCAAACGGTACCACTATGACACCAAACATGGCATTCGCAAGAATAAGGGTGAACAATTGACGCGACTGTTCACATTTGAAGAAGAGTGCGATCGCAACCGAATCCAGAGTGATATCAAAGAGATGCCATCGCCACGCGGCACAACATGGAGTTGGTACATAGGTCTTTCTCAGCTGCTTGGCTTACCGGTGCATCCAGCATTAGCGCGGCCAGCCAGAAATGCAAACAATATCGGCAATCCATAATGATGACATCGTCACCAGCATTCATTCCAATACCAATTCTTAATTGATAAAATTAGTTTTTAACGACAGTTTTTAATTATGAAGTTAGTTTTTAACGATCGTTAGCTCGCTAGCCTTGTAATTTGTGGGCTAGTGTTTGTACTAGGTGTAATTTTGTCTAGTACCGACGGTACATACACTCTTGGACCAAATTGAGAGGACAACCTCGAAATTTTTTTACCAATGATTATTTCATGAACGTAATTAGTTTTTATTATTCAAACATTTGTGTCGCTGAGCATCAACCTATGCTTTTGGCCGGCGAAAGATAGCGGTGGGGCCTAAATAAGATGTATTAGCAATTTGCGGCATTTTTAAGAACTATCAATACTTTTTGTTGTTGTCACGAATTTCGCAACAACAAGAAGTATTGATAGTTCCTAAGTTGCCGCAGATTCTATTTAGGCTCCACCGCTATTCACTGTCACGTCAAATACATTGGTTCTTATGACAGAGAAGCACACGTTGCTGAGCATAAAAATGGGAATACAGATCTTTTACAGAAACAATCGAACATAAAATATTGTTTCCAAAAAACGTTACATGAATTTCTATCCAACGCGAGTGTAACATGAGCTAATACTGTTTCTAATGCAACTCATGTTGCACTCGCGTTAGATGGAAATTCATGTAACGTTTTTAGGGCACAAAATTTTATGTTCGGTTGTTGCTGTAACAGATCTGTATTCCCATTTTTATGCTCAGTGACACATTTGTTCTATTTATTGCAAAATAATGTGAACTAAAAGAATCTGGACGAATTTTATTGAATAGTTTTGAATTTTGTGATTTTTTCTCAAAATGTAAACCGATGTCAAATAAGCATTAATGCTTGAAGTTAATGTTTGAATAATAAAAACTAATTACGTTCATGAAATAATCATTGGTAAATTTTTTTCGAGGTTGTCCTCTCAATTTTGTCCAAGAGTGTAGGTGTTTTTTTTTAGTCAACATTTGATTTTCTAAATAAGTTATATTCAGTAATCGGTTTGAAAACCACCTCGCGTCGAGTAAAGCTGTTGTATGAGTATGCTGTTTACAACGGATCAAACAGAGGTAAGACATTTGTTTGTGCATGATAATAACATGATTGATATTCGGACTTTAGAACAGTTTTCTTTGTTTCGGGAAGTGCGAATATCAATCGCAACATTGTATGAATACCACCAATTGTTACAGAATTTGCTACTCTTTTAACTGATGTCTACCATTTTTTCTCTTCCAGATTTCAAAAACACTCTAGTGTACATAATGTTCTGTCAGATAAAAAATCCATGACGCAATTTTGTTCGGAACAATCGATTTGCCAAAATGTATGGGTCTTTGGCTATGTGTGTATTGTCAATTTTCATGTGATGCGACACGAAAAGATAACGATAACATTTACAAAGAAGGAGGCTCGATTCGTAAACGATGAACGTAAAAGAGACCGAACGACTGAGAGCAAGAGAAAGGAAAAACGAAATCCATGCCAAGAATCACAGGCACGGCCGCTTCTACAATGACATGGATGCTGTAGAATAAGCGAGACGGAGTGAGCAACAAACACATGAGTATAAATAAATAAACAAAATAAAATTGTGGATGAAGACGTTCGTGTTTCTTAGTTCCTTTTATCGATCCATCATTCGTACGAGAAGCGAAAATCGAAAAACCATATTTTTGTCTCTGTTTTGAGGAGTACGCATTTAGAATGAAACGGTGTGCAAGGATTCGCTCGAATGGAATCGGATAAGTTTTTGAAATGAACAGAAACTCAACGAGGTTAATATTATATGCATTTTCGAAATGATCATAAAATCCAAATCGGTCTATAGCGGAACACTACGTATTACGTACTTCATGTTTTGAATGCAGTTTTAGCTTCCAGAAAACACTTAAAACTATGATTATCAATTGAATCAGGACAATTCAAGGTGCATTTCTATAGCCGCAAAAGGCGGAAGAGGTGAAATGCTAATTGGGTAATAAAATGCCATTGTCCATGCGAATTAGTAATACCATTACACTACAAATTCGATTCATACGCAATATTGTGGCATAAGTTTGCGGCCAAAAGACCATAATTTGCAAAGCCGTCACCATGCATGTGCTTCGTACACAACATTATTACTTAAGACATCAGTGGTTTATCGGTAACAACAAATTCGCTTACATACTCTCTCTCGCTCTCTCGCACTTTTCCTGTCTTGCTCGATGTGTGCATAGAATCCTCGATGATTATTACATTACATTTGTATGCTGAGGCATTATTGTGGCTCGCAACAAAACCATTGAGCACAAACTAACGACAGCAGTATCAGCATTTGAATTATTAATCAAGTATATCATAGACGGGAAATTATAACGATTATGCTGTCGACTATGTTCAACGCTGGCTAAACCATTGTTTAGGTTTTGGTGCCATTTCCTCCTCCCGAGGAAATTGGCGCAATTTTCGAAAGCATACATTTCTGCAGAAGATTGTGTGTTCAATCAACGAATGAGAGATAGAGAGAGAGAGAAAGAGAGAGAGAGAGAGAGAGAGAGAGAGCCACGTTGGCGAATCTCCATTAAGAATGGGTTCAAATATTATCCACACAATTTTGGATTTTCGACGGAAAATTACCTCGACTAGAATTGCAACATTCAATAGAAATTCGCCTCAAATTATACAACACACTTTGTGCTCTCTTTCTTATTTTGCAGCTTTCAATGAAAAGCGCCACATTTTCAGCTTTCACTACACTTTCAAAGATTCCACGAAACCAACTGATGACATTCATAAAATATGAATGGTTAATCGAATCGCTTCTATATTCGTTTACACTAGGAAAAGTCCAAATTTTTTTTATTCCATTGAGTTTTGCAAACCAAACCAATAAATAGAAATTTTAACACAAGTGTTGAATGGGAAAGTTTTTTCCTCTAACTGTATATTGTTGATCATCATTAGCTCCCCATGGCAAGATAGAACATAATTCATTTTGAAGTGTAAAATAATTCGGGCAATTGGGGAAAATGATTTATTGTCTGAACGATTTCCCTTTTGTGGGAAGTTTTCCAACAATATTTTCTTCATTTTTTTTGCTCGCATCTGAAACATTGGCTCGATTAAAATTTATGCGACGCCAAATTGAGAGTTCATTTTGTCCGAAAACAAAAAAGCACTCAGTTCCATTAAATTTCTTCATTGCAAAGATTCTATGAACATTGAAATAAACATTTTACCACAAAAAGGGAATTTATTTTAATCTTCGTAAAAAATCAGATCCGTATTTCGTTGGGAGATTGATACTGATAATAGTACGGTGCAGCATTTTAGGAAATTAAAATCTCAAACTAGTAATATTTTTGTCGAATAATATTTATAATCTAAAAACAAAAATCAACTGTTTCGATTCAATTCACTGGGAATATGTATTATTGCTTGAACTTTTCTTCTTTGTTTAAAGTTGAACGCAATCATTATTGGTTGCACATTGATTGTGCGATGAGCAGCAATCGATATAATTTCATTAGGATCTGTTGGTAATTCTCGATGGCAAATGGAGTGAAAAGTGGTCGTAAATTAAATTTACAAGTTTGCAATTGAAGAAGGCTGTTCCAATTGGGCTTGTATCTAAGCGAGACGCTTTGTCGGTAATTGGACCCGGTGAAAATTGTCGGTAATTTACGCTGAATTCGTACAAACATACAATTCTTTCTTGCCAAAGTGCATTTCACAAGACATTGTATTTGAGTGATGAGATATTGTTTTTTTCTTTCTTTGTTGCTGCTGAAAAAATATGCGATAGCAGTTATAAATTGATACGAGAGAAAAAAAACTTGCGAAATGAAGGAGAGAAAGCGAGAGAGAGAAAAAAAGGGAATGTAAAATGAAAATAATATTTTTATGACCTTTTTACTACTTCACTTTAGTTTACGACTGTTCATTTTTCAAAATTTAATGCCAACGCGAAAATGATACGGATCAAAATGAATGCTCATTTTGTGAATATTGCGTGCTACATTTTTGTTGTAAATTTGTTACAAAGAAAAATGTCTGAAGCTTTTCTTCAGGAGTGGTTTGGTAGATCCAGGTCCATTTGTTGCCCAGTTTGTGCGTGCGTGTGAGCGTGGGTTAGTATGTATGTTTGTGTATTGGGTTTGGGGTATGATTTTCTTGGGTGGCTTTGGTGACTATTTACGTGTAGTCAGGCAGTGCCACGCACAACATTCAAAATTATATGCTGTTTGATTTTAAATTGCGTAGAATACACACAATACACATATCCCGTTGTATTCATGGCTGGATATGAATAAATTCGTTTTATGTCTCATATTTATTTTTATCTTCATTTCGCGCTACTTTTATCATTTGTTCCATTCTCTCTCTCCGTCCCCTATTTCCTTCATTTGCTCTCGTTCTATTCCGATGAGCTTAGCTGAAGACAGTAAAATATTGTAACGTTTCTCATTTGCTCTCTCTCTCTCTCACTCCGAGAGAGTCTCTCATTCCTTTTTTGAAAATTTGCACATTTGCTCATTCGCTATCCATGTTCGAAGAGACTTGTCTCAAGTCCTTTTTGCTTCATGTGCTTTGTTTTTCGGCCAACGTCGCTTTTTTATTGTGTTGCCATTTTTCGTTTCAGTTTTCTTGCATATATCAAACGGCTGCAACGCTTCAACGGTGAAGAGAAATGGGGATACACAAATGAATGTAAATTCGTCTAAACCACGGTTTTTCAGGGCGAAAAGTGAGAACCGCCAAAGAAAATGGAAAATAGTATCAACACAAAAATATTGCTTAAATTTTTGTTGGAAATAATATAGCATAGACAACAGGCAATAGCGACAGCACCAATGGCAGAACGACTCGAAACCAAGGGACGAAAAGAAATGAAAAACTCTCGGAAAAATGAAGCATGGAACATTAATATTCCGAAATTGTCGAGAAGATTCTTGTACAAACATCTCTAGTGTGTATGCACCGTTCGCGCCAGCCATTCCACGTACTTGGCAGTTATGCTTTTTTATACTCTCTTTCTCTATATATTACTGCTGCTGCTGTTGTTGTTGTTGATGATGATGTTTTGTTTGCCGTGTGTAGTTTACATTTTATATGTACACCATTTTGAAGTACACACTGAGACTGAAGAAATCGTACATAAGAGACGGAGTTTCTTTCACGTGCATAAACACACAAACACATTGGTACACAGCGCCAGAAGACGTACTTGAAACGAAGAAGAATGAACAAAACGAGAAACGCGAAAATGATACGGATCAAAATGTATGCTCATTTTGTGAATATTGAAATTTACCCAAATTTTTAGCGTGCAGATTTGAACTTGAAAATGGGCGTCCTTCGAAACCTTGGAAACATGAAACAGCATTTCCATTTCTTTTAATCGATTGAAATTGGGTGTTATATTTGGTACGTGCATTCAATAGGTAGTATTGCCATTTTAATCATTAAGAAATCGATACAATTTCTTTAAATTAACATTCCAATGAATTATTGAACATTAATTACGTTCTATGTTATTATGTAACGTGATTCGGAATTTCAAATGCCGTCAAAAATCTGTGAACCATTCATAAATTCCTACTAACCTTATCTTCAAATCATTGAGAAAAGTAAAACACTTGAATCGTACTGGCCCCAATATTGGTTGCAAAAGAAATGCGAAGATGAGGAATCTTATGCGCTGTACTAATGATCTCAACAACCGAATTACGCGCCATTTCTTTTCTCCATAACCATACAATAATTACCCTAATTCAACAAGCTATTCGAATTATCGTTAATTTTTACAACCGACTCTTACCGTTTCATTATCAATGACATTGCTCTTTTGCCAAATTAGCATTATCGCGATAATTGAAGTGAATAGAGGAGAGAGCAAAAACTGAGATTTTCAATTTTTTTTTTTTAACGAAAGAAGTCCTTCGTAATTTGTAAAAATTGCGTTTTGACTGGATTTTCATACGTACTGTGAGCGTTAGATTCCATACTTGAATTTCCAGTTGATTTCAATCAACTTTCAATAAGTTCAATCAAGTTGGCCGGCTTAGTATTATTAAATATTTATATATATTATTATTAAATATTTTAACTATGAAATTGAAATTCCAATCATAGTACGTATAAAATTAAGTCAAAAAATCTCAAAATAGTTAATCTCTAGTCACTCGTAAATTGTATGGAGAAAACTTATTAAGTGACTAAAGTCTAGTCGCAATAGTTATAAAAATTTCCAAGAGATGTTGCAAAAAATCTTATTTTATGAAGAAAATCATGTGTGATATTATTTTTGAGTGAATCGTTTTCAAATGGACACGTATTCGATAGCTTGTATTCAAAATGTAATGATTTACAAGAAAATCTTATGCTCAACCCGAGTAAGAACCATTTTGGATCAACCGAATAACATTTGTGAAAAAAAAAACTGTTTGAATTATTGATTTTTTGTTTTGAAATCTCTCGAAATATATTCGCTACACCTGCCGTGGCAATATTGGTAAAAGATTTGAATGTCGGCGAATTGAATTCACTGAATTCGTTGGAGTTGATCTTTATGAATGGTTATCGAGTATACTTGGCCTCCCGACGGTATTGTCATTTCTTTATTTGTCACCGTTTGGGCCTAGGTTTGGACATTCGGTGTATTTCATTCAAATGTAAATTTTCAACAATTGAATAATCTTAAATGTTGTGATAAGCATTCAGTTGTGACGTTCCAAAGGTATTTGTTCGAAAATAATTGGTAATCATTGATTACTTCAAATGATACTTCCAAGCGACTAAAGACAAGTTCTCAGGTTAAATTTCGACGAAATAATTGAAATGCACTTACATTGCATGCCCATTGATGTAGAAAACATTGATGTGCGATGAACATCTTGGTGATGATTTCGCGCCCCAATGACAGAACATTGTGATCCGGGGCCACCAGGATGATGTAGGCTACCCATTGCAGCCGCCGCCGCACTTCCATGGCCAACACTCGATCCGACCGGATTGTAGCTGCGCGCCATCGAGGCTGCAGCGGCTGTATATCGAGCGCTATACATTTGGCTACAAGACGTTAAATCGCCATACGTACAAGGCATATTGGACATGGGATCAATTCCATTTTGTAAACAATTTGTGTCGAATGAGGCGGCCGCCTGATTTAAATACGTGTAATCCATGTTGCTTGCTTGCTTGTCCTTCCACTATATTCTACTTTTATTCTATTAAATTTTATTTGAAATCAATTAATATTCGCTTAACTTTGTTTTTCTTCTACTCAAATCGCGTTGCAATCGTTAAAATTAAAACAATTCAATTTGCTCACATAAATCTAAACTTTTCATGACTTTTCCTCGCTTAAATTCACCAATTGGTAGTACAATTAAATTTGTCTCATATTTGCCTTTTCTAAAGTCACTGAGATGTTTGCTTCATTAACGTCGGGATTCATTGGTTGACATTACGAGTGAAATTAGATCACCCAATTAAATCAATTTTAAATTATATCATAAATCTGGAACTTAGAAATATTCACTGTTTGAACTAAGAAGAAGCTTTTTGTGTATGTGTGTTTTTTTTCTTCAAATCTTTTTACATCAAACACTTTGAAAAATGCTGAATATCACAAAATGTCACAAGTGTTTTAAATGAAACTGAACACGCACTGCTTTTGCACAAAATTTCTAGCCGTTAACATTAGCACTTGAGTTCTATTTGCTTCACAAATCAATTGTAAATTTAATTATTGTTGATTCTTGTTCAATGTCAGTGTTTTTGCTTTTGTTTTTCATATATTTATCATTTACATTTTCTCGTATTCAATTTTTCCGTATACGACAAAAAGCAAGGAAGTTTGTCCAAATCGAGGTTCAACCACAATGCAGAAAATATGCAACTGAAAACGAGTAAATAAACTCCTTTGAATGAGAGCCTATAAAGGAGGTTGCACTCTCACTTCAATAAAAATATATAATTCGTCGTCGTTGTCGTCGTCGTCGTCACAATATATGAAAACAATATGTCAAATAATTCGGACACACCACCGACCGGTTGCTTACCCCAAAATAAAATGATAAGTTTAATTCAATAACGTTTGCTTAAAACCGTTTTTGGAAAACACACGACATATTCGAATCGAATCACAAAGCAAGTGGCACATACAGAAAGAGAGCACTTGCACCTTGCACGAGAGAGTAACCAGACAAACTGTGTGGTTCGGAGTGTGAAAAGAGAGAGAGAGAGAGAGAGAGAGAGAGAGCATCAAATCATTTGCAGATGAGATGGTAATGTGAGATAACACGATTAACCAATGTCGGAAATGTTGGCCGGCGTAAACGAGACAAGAACATTGGTACACACACGAATCACAGAAAAACAATGTAACGCAATAAAAGACCATCGAAAATGAAACATTTTCAGAGGGTTGGAATAAAGAAAATCGCATGAAAAATCTGCTAACACACACATATAGAGGGAGAGAGAGGGAAATAGTATGTACACACAAGGACAACGCTTGTTGTTTGTCGTTCGATTGCTCTACGGTAGCGGCAGAGATGTTCCCGCAACATTTGCAAAAGAATCAGATATAGTGCAATACCAACAACAACTAGTCAACATTCATCAAGTCGGTCTGGTTAACACTCATGCACTCACACAAATATGCACATACATACACACTCACAACCATATACACATACGCGCGTACACGGCATCGTTTCACATTGCGTGGCAACTAATTCAAGAGGGGATGCTCGAAACAGCGTTGCTATAGGCGGAGTTACACCCCTAAAAAGGAAGCGCAACAAACCAATTGTGACTACGTATTGAATTGTCCATACGGTTGTCTTGCTCAAAATCACACGCCATCTATTTCTATTTCAATCGATTTGGCACAAACGTTTCGGTTCGAGCACTGATAGCTTCGGGCGATTGCCAGCAAGAACAACATGGATTAGAATTGAGACGAACGAAACAATCGGGATTTTTCTCTTCTTCTTCTTTTTTTTTGACAGAAATGACGTCAGAATATTTCATCTGTTTGGATCCGAAATATATTCACTGTGCGCGTAACCGTCCAAAGACAAGGAATGACAGCGAGCCAAGACAAACGAAAGTTGTTGTGTGTATGTTTGACGAGAAAAAAACACACATCAAACTATACACTGGAAATCGGCCTGATGAATTTTCCCCGAACCAAACAAATCAAATCATATTTGTCTTCTTAATCTTAAATGGGATTTTTTTTCTGCTCTTTGTCCATACCAAATCTACGACAGCTGTCAATGCCATCTGAAGTTTCGTCAAAAAATGCCACCACGGGACGGTACACACACACATACACCAACAGATCACAAGCGTTTTTTTTCACTCTGCTTTGTGCGCCTCCAGATATCAGTTGAAAAACTATACTGTTTTGGTTTAGGATTTCTTTTTCTTTTCATCCATCCCCCCATCCCAGACAGATGAAACCATGAACTTATCAAATAAAATTGAATTTCGAGTGAGAGAGGAAAAGAACCGCAACCAACATAATGAATTCACATGCGAAATCATATAGAGGTCATTTCAAACAGTCAAAACAAATAAATAATTTAAATCACGATTTTGTAAATGGTGCCACGCGATGCCGAAAAATGTTTACGAACAAAACTTTAAATAATCTTGAATATGAGCGCGGTAAGCAATGAGCAGATTCATTTTTATTTCGACTTTTTTTTTTACTTTTTCGGCCATTGGAATATAAATATTTATTGATTCCATGCAATCATCAACTTTCGTAATATATGAAAAAAAATGTGATGATATAATTTTGTTGTTGCAATTTTGAAGATAACATTTTGTATACGACCAAAAAAAAACCATTGAAATTTTCAGCAGCTTCTCATGTTTCAATTTAACGTCAAAAAGTCATGGAATACAACAAATCAATAACAAACGATAGTATTCATTTTCATCACCATGCAGTGATTCAACAGTTGAAACAGTGAATTTTACCTCAACGATCATTTGCTTTTGCTTTTGCTTTCTCTCTCTCTCTCTCTTTCTCACACTCTTTCGCTACTTTTGGCTTGCTCGCGTGTGCGAGATATTTGTTTGCTTGTGTATTTGGCGCTCGGGTTGCCCGTTGACACGATGACGAGATGCAACTACACTGTCTTATCACTTTTTCCGTTCGATGCTGCTTTTCTTGCTGCTCTCGTTGCTCAATTTCACACATTTGAGTGCCGAGAAAATTTTCATGGCTCTGGGAAATGTTTTCGTAAATGTTTACCGTTACTCGTGCACGGTGCACTTTTTTTCCTTCATTCATTCGTTCCTCTCTCTCACGGCGGCGGCGGCTACGACGATGATGTGTTTTTCGAATCAGCATAACGCTTTTTTACCGTCTGTTTTCCATATGAAGTTTATATTTGTGCTCGATGATGCAAATGATCATCTCATGTGCCTGTTACAACGAGCGTATAATATTACATATTTGCTTTCCATCGACGTACTCCAGTCAAAATCGAGGCTCAGTTTCAAAGGATTGATATTCTGGTCGACATTCAAAACGAATTCGAATCCAGAATAATTTTTTGGTGATTTTCTTTTTTCAATGTTTCAAATATTATGTCTTCCTTCCGTATACTTTATGACTATCAAATTTGTGCATGTGTACTATTTGTTATAAAGCAATTACAAATCATGCACATGAACTAAAGGTAGAAAGTCGTGATTTTAAAAAACAAAAAAATTGAACGGGGAAAAAATGGAAACTGATATCACAATTCAACTTAAACTGAAATTATTCATAATAAATCATTTTTTTGTTGCTGAGTAACCGCCATTTAAAAAGTGGCACTTGATTCAATTCATACACATAAAAATTAATTCAATTTGGCATTACGCGAATAAGCCAATACGCCTGCGAATTTGAGATCGAATTTCATATTTACTCGACTGTCGCATGTAATACAATAAATTTTAAAATTAAATATAAATAAAACTAGTCGACCGATCGATTTTTTTTCGGCTTTATTATTCGGTGTTTGTGTAGTTTATTTTTTCTCAACATGTGTTGATGTTGAACGATTCTTTTTTCTGTTCGGCTGCATCACAGCAGCCCTTTGCCAGCTTTTCAATTATCCCAACACAATTGACAGCGATGAAAAAAGGATTGTAGCAACTTCAGTTAATTATGTGCTATCTGCAGTTTTTTTTCCATTCTTTTCATCGAGGGTTGTATGCGTAAAAAATGGTTGCCAACGGAATTTAGCGACTGTATACGCTGGAGAGTGGGCAAAAATACATTTAATTGTTGCCCAAACATTGATCATTGTTAATAATAAAGTATCAATTTACACAATATTTATTTCATTTATTTGGCTTCGAACCGCATAAAAATGTAATCCTTTTTGTAAATTTGCCGTTTTTGCTGTCAACAAACAAATGACACCATGATTTATGGTGGAACTTTCATGGAGAGAAGAATCGTAGTTACGTTTTTTTAAAAAATGAATTTGAAATGGTCGCATAACATATCCTTGACACAATACACACACGTTCCATTTGACACGTTAATCAATTATGAATTATCACTTGAATTCGATGCGGTGTGTGTGCGTGTACGAATAGCCATTGAGATCTTATCAGTTTGAGGATTTGCGGTGATTCGATGCAAAGTGTTGGGACAGATGATATTCTATATATTTATTGAACAAGTGACAAACAATCAAATTTCGCACTGAAACACAGATAATGCACTCCGATCATCATCATCTGCACTTGGGGCAGCATTATGCTCAATTAAGCTGCAATCGTATTTAATTAAAAAAAAATGTTATGCTTTTAGTTCCGTGGGGCCCATATGTACTGACATCAATTGAGCGTACTAATCAACTCTCCTATTCGTTTTGAATTTGACAACTGATATTGAGCGCAAACACCACCTAGATAATCTAAAGCTAATGACAATACAATCAAGTAAACTCTCTTTCCTGTCTAACGTCATACTGAAGTATAACATACGGACACCACGAACTCGCCATAGATTCTTTAGAGGACGCTTTGGTCAACCGAGTTTCAACCAAATACATGTATCAGTATACAAAGCATTCCATTGTTGGTACTAATAGACTCGTGTGCTCTCATGCTTTCACTTCAACATTTTGGGTGTGTGTAGCCCAAAATTCCCAAGCTCTCAGCTTTCTATCTCTCTCTACCTGCCTTCCCCCTCTCTCACTATCACCTACTCACTCTCTATCTCTCTGTATTTGTAAATAATATAATAATTGCACTCCCATGTCTATGTTATGTTTTACCACCTGGGTATTAGTCAATGCGTCCAAAATGCATATTTTCAGTATCGCATAAAGCAGATATCGTGATAGTATCGTAAGATATTTTACTTGCGTACGTCCCACATTCAACGCCGCATTATGCCTTACTGAATCAGCGTTCCACCGCACACATAGAAAACAGCAACACAAGAAAATACTTGCATCGCTTGCGTTCGTTACTTCCGTTGATTCAGTATCGCATAATATAAAAGTGAATTTGAGATGAACACTTGCAAATATCGCAGGAATCTATCACGATATCTGCCTTGTGCGATACTGAATATATGCGTTTTGGACACATTGGCATTAGTTAAATAGCGCACCATATATCCATATTCAAATGTTATTGTTTTGTTCCACAAAATAATAATTTGCCAGTCATTTGAAGTTTGTATTGTCCAATCAAAGCACATATTATGTAATGGTAAACTATCAATTCAGTTAATTCGCAATTGGACCGAGTGTCTGCGTGTATGTGCTTGTGTGCTGCACGTATGCCATTTGTGTAACTATCATTTCCCATGTTATCAAATGTATCTCTGCTTCTAAAATAATTTTGTCCAACCGGAATGTTCGACAACCACAAGTCATATCATCTTTGTCTGATGAGCTCTAGAATGCGCAGTTATGCAGCAATCGTATATTTTCAAGATTTTATGGAGCATACTTGCATTTTTCATAATTTGTCAATGAGCTCATGTCGAATGAACAC